CGTCGTCACGCTGCGCCGGCGCACGCCACTAGTTATATAACGCGTCTTACATCATGGCGCGTCACCACAGCTAAAATAAGCGCTCTATCCACACCCGGTCACGGCCAAGGCTATGCGCCTTGTTGCCGACAATTATGCCGCGTCGTTGCCCGTAATGAGGATTTAGTGGGTGGACACGCGACCGACGACGCTCACTTTTACTTTTAAACCGGTTGCGTTGACCTTCGCCTCTTGCGCGCCATCTCTACATCTCACCAAATTGCAATAGACTATGCGTTTCTTGCATTTCCCTAACTCTATAATTATGTATTGTAAACAATGCTGTTCGGCACTTCGCCGCAGGTATTCATAGTCCATACCTATCGTGTACCTAGCGAACGCCCTTGACTGAACATCGACCGGTCGACCTTGTGAACGCGCAAATGTTTTCTGTATGAATCTATTGGAATTGTTTTTGATCGTTTCCAAGGTTTCAGGAGTTATTATGGCCAAATTTTGGACAATTGAAGTACCCATTATGTAAACATGTAGGTACATTTACTGAAACGAAACATTTACCTAAAGTTTGTTGATGACGAATAACTCAAATACAGTGAGTAATAAAGTTGGTAAAATAATTTAAATTTGCAAAGATCTGAACGCTAAAATTGCCAATAATGGAGGTTGGCAGATATTTAACGTTAATTAAAACTTACTTTTTAGGAACGATCGGCACGAAACTTCGTACTTTTTTTGCACTGGACTTTCCTGTAATAAAAGCAATACGTAGCAATAACATAGCAAGTTATATAGTCGCCATTTTTAAGACTTTCGTGAAAACCGCTCTATGAAAATTGAAAACAGTCGCTGTACTGTCATTAAGCTTGATATTATTATTATTTCATGCTCCTTCGAAAGGCTAAACATGACTATAGGGTTTTAAGGTTTTGAAACAAACCCATATGGGTTTATTTCGATGTATGGGAGGCCAAAACCTCCTTTCTAAGGAGAGGCTTATGTCCAGCAGTGGACTGTTAAAGGCTGTTGATGTGAACGAAGACCCACCGAACGACGGTGTAACTGCAAATCCTGTATCGCGATATGAAAAGTTAGCAAATGTACTTTGCAACATCCACGGTTGCACCGCGACCTGTTAGGCATGATCACTCGCCTGGTCGGAGGATCCGCCCTTAACAACCTGTACAGATCTTACTGTAAATAAAATCATAATATGAACAGCTACGAAACAGATAGCTAACATAGTAAAGGTTATTGTTTCGGTTAAACATGTTGGTCACGATGACCGTCAAGTAAAATCGGTATGTTTTGAATAAACGTTAAAACGGTAGATTTGTTAAATTATTGTCTAAAACACTAAGGCCTGACCTCACGCCTTACTAATGTCAAATCATTCACTTTTAATGTTATTTCGACCAATAAATAAGAACGTTAAAGTAAAAACAACAACAATTTTCACACTACTTAAAGTTATTTTATTGTCCGATTTGACCAAATAATTATTTTGAGCACGCGCATCTCATCATCAACGTAGTACGTACAAATATCTCTAGTGTTGTCTCAATACTTACGAAAATAAAGATAGAAATAATCAAATAATTATTATGCATATTAATAATATAGGACGAAGGTTATCCCGATCTTGCCACACACATCACATCAACAGCCTTGAATAGTCCACTGCTGGACATAGGCCTCTTCTTAGAAAGGAGGTTTTGGCCAGACGGGTTGGTATAGAGTTTGTATCAAGTTTTCCTTCTTTTTGCAGTGGTGGTGTCCTGCGTTGTTTTGTGCCTTTAGCCGGCTCTTACGACACCCACAGGATGAATTGGGGTAGTGACATCCCGTATTCTTAATCCGTCACTTGCCACCCATACTTAAAGTCAGTTCCAGTCTCTTTCAGTCAACTGATTATCTTTTACTATTGACTAGAGGTAGGTTTCGCTATTAAGTATACTAGTAATATATTCCCCCCACTTAGAGCGTCCACGTGTAAAGCTGTTCTTACTTTTTATAACTTATATACTCTTTAGATGGATCTAAGTATACGTACATATATCTTTTATGTACATTTATACTGCGTAATCAGTCTCGCCTCTTGGCGCCTCTCGGAGCGTGAAAAATCCAACATGCTCTAATCTCTTGACGACTGTGTGTTTAACGAACTATTCAAGGAGAATTTCTCACTTGCTAATTGTTATAATCATAATATTCCATAATACCAAAACATAGATACTTGAACCAAACAATGAATGACGAAAAACCGACTGCATATAAAGCGTCGGCCACACTGCCTGATATTTGATTTTCTAGAAACCAAACACCTGAAATAGTTCATTAAAGATTTTAATGTAAAAAAGTTTTTAATGTTGATTATAATGTATGATCAATTCGTTGATTGCGTTTTCTTCTTTGTTTGTTAAAATTAGCAATCAACTTAAGCATATTGCTATAGTAACAATCCAAAAGCAGAATAGAAATCCCAATAATATTATAACCGCAAAATTTTGTGAGTATGGATTAGATTTTTATGAAGGGAAAATTGGAATTGTTGATTGGTAATAAATATATAAATAATAACTAGAATTATAATAAAAAGTTACAGTGAAATAGTTGTTAATATGTGCGGGTTGTAATTGGCTTCCAGACCGCCCCTATAACGTGAAGTGACGTCCGTTAATTTTATTTCTTTTTAATGGTCAATAAATAAATAGTACTGGATATGGGCTTTATATAATACTAAAATATAATAATACTAAAATATAAACAAATTACAACGTTGTCCGTGCCGCCCTTAGTATTACAACGATACGAAATTTTGCAACACATTAAAATTGAATGACGGTGCCTCATAATTTTTACAAGTGTGGCCTAAGGCTCACTATACATTCTATTTGTTCATTAGCGAAGTTTTTTTGCAATGTCCATAGTAATTCTGTGTGTGGAATTCATTATGCTGTGGAATCTTTACCGTTTATGTGTATATTTGAACATAGTTTTATTATGTCTATGGTAATATAATGGATGAACTTATTGTAGACACTGTTCTAAATTCATAAAGTACTAGATTTGACCATGACTTCACCCCATATTTAGTTAGTAAGTTGGAATAAAATTCCTGTTAAATACAGTCATTAAAATGATGAGTTATGAAATTATTATAAAATAGGATTATTTCTGGTCTTATAATAACAAGAATTAAGATTTCTTGCTGTGTTAAAAAAATTAAATACTCGTTAAAAAGATGAATTAATCGTTACAAATGCATGTATTTCCTTTCTGCATTTAAACTTACAGAAGTTATCTCCTGCATAAGTCTCGACTGTTTTGCATCCGAACTTGTTTTTCATTTCATCTCATTAAATAAAATCAAAAATCAAAAAATTCTTCTTTAAGAATAAACTACTCAAATCGCGTCTAAAACCTCACAGATTTGTACATTTGCTTGTCGGTTTACCTGCAATGAGGCGATAGATTTACTGAATTCTAATGATGATGTACAGACAAGCCAACTATAATTTTATTACAGTATTAACATTAGGTGTGCGTCTGTTACCTACGGTTGAATGGCCCTAGGCTAGACGGGCAAGCTATCTTAGTTTTTGTTTGTATTTCGTCTCGCTGATATAATACAGTGGAGTATGTATGATCTGCCTGTACAGAAAGCGGAATATTTTTATCTAGGCGTTTGCACTTAATTTTTTTGGTGATTTCCATGTATGTATTTACAAATAAAGTATGTAAGTATTCTATCAGTCAATCTAGGTTTCATAGTACAATATTTGTCCTGGGTGGGAATCGAACCCACGACCTCTGACTTAGCAGTCAGAATCACTAACCACTAGATAACCAGACCCGTCAATGTCATTTCAACATAAGTTAAAATGGCTTAAACAGCAAAAGACCAAAGTGCCTTATTATCCCTCATTACTTTAAGGTATATTAGTCTCTGATTCATTAGCCCATGTTCTTTATTTATATTAGTAGCTGTTGATTTAAATTTTAAAAATATTAATTCATATTATTAAAATAAACTAAGATCGAATTGCGACATCTGGACGAGCACTATGAATAATAAATTAGTTGAATTAACATTACTATGCTAATATAACAAATTAATATTAAATCGACTAATGATTTTATTTTATAACTTAATGTTCGATTAAGGAGGGGAGGGGCTTGTTGACAGCTGGAGAAGAGTTAGAGCTGCTTTCTTACATAACTATAGGTAATGGAAATGAATAGACACACAAATATGAATGTTTCCTAGAAGAGACTTGAGCAAATAATAATTCTACGTATCAATATTGAAAATGAAATTCCTTATAGACGTTATTTCAAAAAAACATTGAAAATAATAGTATCTAATCCAAATTCTATAATTTTCATCCTATCTCAATTATTCTGCTAGTGTAGAATTTAAATGCAAAGCTTAGGTATATGAAAACATAAGGCATTAAAATATCTCATTATAATACAGCGAGCTTGTGTTGTTTTTATAGTATCATTAATTATATTATGATTAGCTTTCTAGCTTATAACTAGTTATAGTTTTGTACCAATACGAAATGGATTTGTGCAGCTATATTATGTGACGAAAATGGCGTATGTATTTTAGCTAGCCAACACCCGCGGCTCCACCCGCGAGTGTTGGTTATAGCGGGAACAAGTGGCTCATGCCCTTCTCCATGCCAAATTTTATAAAATTCGGTTCAGCAGTTTAGCCGTGAAAGCGTAACTGACAGATAGACTGAGTTACTTTCTCGTCTATAATATTTGTAGGGATTAGCTGTAGCGTTTGCTCTGTGGAGTCTTATAGTGAATTTTATATAAATTTGTATCTTCATACATTAGCGCGTTCAACCAAACCAAGCTCTTCTGCATTATTATATTGTGATTTGTATTGTTGAGGCGTTATTTGTATCGGCCTTGCAAATATAACAAGATAATGATGACTGGTTAAAATTTATACAGAGTATTAAGCTGTTATGTATTGTTTACAGGTATGGTGTTTATAGCCAGTTTCATCGTGATCCTTGCGACCCTGATGTTCTGTTTTCCACGTCAGATCAAGCAAGAGCCCCTCCCGCTCCCTGCAAAGAAGAATAAGGATAAACGGCAATCATTCTTTAAAGGTAAGACAGGATATCTTAAAAGGGCAGGAAAATGTTAATCTCAAAAAATGGTACTATTAGTAATACCACCATTGATTATGGTAAAACACAACCGGAAAACGGAGTAGGTACCCATCTAAAGATCATCGTGTCTTGGCATTTTTGACATTTAGTTTTCCTCCGTCGAGGACTGCTTACTGTCAAATAGAATAACAGTGAGCGTTCTAGACAGCGTCACAATTATTGTGATCATCTCAACGATTAACTTTCACCACTGAGCATAAAGATACTTCAGGATTAAGAGTGGTTTTGCCTTCAATTATGGTTATCAGAAACTGCAAATCTGTCCGCCTTGTTGAGTTTTCTCTAGTGCTTTCTAGTAATCTGAGCGACACGTGGGGGAACACGTATTCTAGAACTGTTAACTACCTTAGAAAGTCTTAGACATGGTCGGGCTAAACCCGAAAGATTATTTTGTGGCAAAGCATCCCCTGAGTATTAGGTTCCGTAAAGAGTTCATCGCTAAGCTTACAGGTTTGCGCGTTCACCGCAATAAATTATACCGTTTGTCGTATCGCCTCAGTTAGGGAGCACCTCCCTAACTGCCTCAGCCAGTATCGGAATCCCAGGCGTCGACATATCGAGCAAAGTCCAGTTTCGCGGTCATTTAGAGGGTAAGCCAAATTGGCCTCGAAGAAGCTCGGAGTGCTGAACAGATCGAGGCAGTATTTCACTCATCGCCTGCAACTCTACAAGGCGCAAATCCGGCCGCATATCGAAAACTGTTCTCATCTCTATGCAGGGGCACCTCAGTACCAGCTTCTCCCTCTGGACCATATCGAAAGCAAAAGCGATTCGAATCGTCGATAGCTAAAAGATCTCTGACTGGCTCGATCCTTTGGCGTTACGTAGATATGTAGCTTCGCTCTGCATTCGTTATCGTATATATCATAGAGAGTGCTCCGAGGAATTGTTCGGACTAATACCGGCCGCAAATTTCCGCCATCGTTACATACGGCAAAGGGCACAGTAGTGGAGACGACTGTGCGCTTTTCAAGACACTTGTTGCCTCGCACTACTAACCTGTAGAACAAGTTATCTTCTGCGGTACTTCCGGACCGATACGACCTTCAAGAAAAGAGCTTACTCCTTCCTCAAAGACCGGCAACGCGCTTGCGACTCCTGAGTTGCAGGCGCTCATGGGCGGCGGTAGTCGCTTTCCATCAGGTGACCCGTCTGCTTTATGCCCCCTCTTCCATAAAAAAATCACACCGTAGTAGTGTGTATGTATACATACGTATGCGAATTGTATATGAATTTTTGTCATTCTCATATCCAAATTAACAGTAAATAATAACTACAATATACTGCCGACTAGTATCTGATCATTCGATTATCGCATCCGCACTAAAATGTCTAAACAGTTTTACAAACTATCAGCAGGAATATTATTTACATTTGCCTACAACATACATTTTATCTAAGGACATTAACGTCTCTGTTAAGCGTTGATCTTTTAAAGAGATTTTACCATTTACATCATATACAACAATCTTCTACTTAATTCTACTGTCCTCTCCTCTCAGAACTTACGTGGCAGAGCCATGTTTCGGCACAAATTCGGCTCGACCGGAGCGATACATCGGCCTCCTAAAAACCGGCAAAAAATAAGCATTTCTATCGTTGCTTTTCACCATGTCAGTGAGGTTACCGAAGCTCAAATCCTTTCTCACCTTTATTCTTTGGAGAGGACTCAAAAGCCGGCAGCGAACATGTGGCGGTAGCTATTCACCAACAGGTGACCCGGCTGCTGGTTTACCTTCGTATAGCATAAACAATTAGCTTTGTTTCTCTTAATCATCAACAGCCTTTAATAGTCCACTGCTGGACATGGGCCTCTCCTTAGAAAAGAGGTTTTGACCTACTATACCATGCTGGCACTGAAGGGTTGGTATAGGGTTTGTGTCAAGTTTTCCTTCTCTCTGCAGTGCTGTTGTCCTGCGTAGTTTGCTACCTTAGTCTTATTCTTACCTCTACCTTATCTGTATCCTTAATCTGTACCTTGTCTACCTTATCTGTATTCTTAATCTGTCACCATAGGATTATCAATCCACTCCGACAATCTTACTATCGTAATTACGTTTTGAGCAAGTGTAAGTAAGTGTTTCTCCTATTAGTCCCAATTCTCCATTTTATTATTCGCGAATGTCTATTATAAATTACGGCTTATCTAAAATGTATTTAAATTTTACTGAAGCACTAAAGAAAACGAACGTGTTTCGTAAATCAATTATTATTCATCATTAAATTTTCTAATTTTTAAAGCACCTTTCTATTTGAGTTATTATTTTACGCTTTCTATTGATATTATAAAGGGTGTCTCAGTAAGAGTGCACTTTTTAAATTTAGAATCATTTTTTTCGTGGCAACTCAAATTTAACAGCTGTCACTTATGTTTATTCCGGTTATTAAAAATCGAGCGCTTTTCGAAAGAACAACGCGTTATAATTGTGAAAACTTATTACAAAAATGGGGAAAGTTACGATGAAACCGCTCGCAAACTTCATCAAATGTGCAGTCCAGAAAGTGCACCTAGTGTGTCAACCATTCGAAGAGTGGTCAAAAAATTTGAAGAAACTGGATCGATTATGGAAATTAAGAATTCTTTGCGTCAACGTACCGCTCGGTCTTTTCAAAAAATTGCTGCTGCAAACGAGAGTGTCGCCGAAAACCCGAAAACATCAATTCAGCATCGTTCTCAACAACTTTAAATTTCACGAGGCACTACGCAGCGAATTTTGACAAAAGAAACCTCCTTCACGTGTAAAAGATTCAGCTAACTCAGGAGCTTAAAGCAGCAGACCAAGGAAAGCGCCGGCAATTCGTTCAACGGGTAATGGAGCAAAGTGAGGGCGATGCCAATTTTTCGAAAAAAGTCCACTTCTGCGATGAAGCGCATTTCGTTGAATTTGGAGAACAGAAAATCCTCATGCAATCCATTATAAACAAATGCACCCACAACGAGCAACTGTGGGTGCGGATTTTGGTCAGGCGGCGTGATCGGGCCTTACTTTTTTTAAGATGAGGCTGAAATTGCAGTGATTGTGAACGGCATTCGTTACAGGAATATTTTCTTGTTCTTTCTTTTTTTTTTTTTTATAAAAAGACAACTCCCGCATTAGGAATAAATCCTGTGTCGCGGGGCACTTTACAAACATACATGAAACGGACACAAAGAACACCCAGACTCAGAACAACAATTTGTGAATCACACAAAGTGTCGTCCCATGTGGTGTTTGAACCGACGCGACCGTTTAAACCACTACGCCATCCGTGCAGTCAATATGATAACGGAGTTCTTGTGGCCTCAACTGGACGGCATGGAGCTGGACAACATGTGGTTTCAGCAGGATAGCGCCACCTGCTACCACCACGCATGAAACAATTGACTTATTGCAGCAACGATTTCCAAAACATATTCACACTCATGAAATTCTGATGTCAACTGTCAACATGCCACCAAGATCGTGCGATTTAACGCTGTGCGAATCCGATCTCGGGTTTATGCGAATAAACTAGAAACAATTCCTGAGCTAAAATCTGAGATCCAATGCGTCATCGGTGATAAACAGCCCCATCTCTGTGTAAAAGTTATGGAAAATTTCATGAAAAGAGTAATGGCCTGTCATCAGTACTTGCTGAATATTTTATTCCATACTTAATAGGAACATGTCTTCTTTACAATCCAATAAAAATATCACAACTCTTTCATAAAATACGTGTTTTTATTTTAAAATGAAAAAGTGCACTCTTACTAAGACACTCTTTATATGAAGTACGTCACGGCCCTAAAACTTCAAATAGATGTAATAGTCATTCATTTCATTTACTTAAATTAGACTATTAAAAATCATATTTTTTAAACAAATCTACATAATTACTCAATTCGAATTTCGTTTCTTAATCTGCAATTATGTTAAGAGAAAAGACAGCAGTTTTATAACAGATATTCATAACAAGAGAGAAATTTATTGCCCCTTAATTTTTTCTCATTATACAAGTACAATTGTTGGAACATTATGCTCACTTTTTCACCTACGATTTGAAAGTCTTTAACCTCAGTTTGTAATGTGTCTTTTTTAGTGCATATGTGTTTATCATATTTGCTGTACGCAGTCTTTGTGTCTTAAGATATGTACACGAAATAAAAAAATCGATCTGCCCTATGCGGTGACCGTTTTAAATATTGTTTTGAAGTCACTTTTGAGGTAACAGTCACTTTTAATCTGACTATACACTGTTGCATCAGTTAGTGATACATCTCTTGAATAAGGTCACTCATCATTTCCTGCGTTTGTCGTATGAGACATGTAAGTGGCTGGTGACCTGGAAGTAACTGCTCGTTGCTTCTCATAAACTAATCATGGAGCGATTTTCCGAGGATATTTTTGAAGCTACCTTAATGTTCAGTAATTTTATCTCATTTGTTTATAACTTTTTAATCCACCTCTCCACCTTCCCTTCTAATTTTACATAGTTATTCATAAATATGGTTTTAAACCAATGTTACATTGTTAAAGAGTCATCAAATAATCATATCAAAAATTCCATAATCTAGTATGATTTGTGAAATAGCCTGTGTATTAAGATTGGTTATCCAAGAAATATTTGTGACGCAACTCAGTCAGTCCAGTACTGACTTTTTGCTCCTTTGCACTTGAGCATAAATTTAAATTGAGATTATTTTTATACTATTTTTATTGTCATTATTATTAGTTTAGAGCCGAACCCCTTCTCTCCCGAAGACTTCAACAGCGAACAGTCACACATCCAACTTGATACCCAAGATTTGATCAAAACTGCAGCGAATCGCTTGCAGTCGAATTCCTTAGGTAGATACTTTTCCTTTAAGGAAATTGATACGGACTTGACCTTCTTGGTGGTTGACTCGCATGTTACTAAATCTGTCCACCACGAAGCTTTTCGTCTTAAATATAAAAACAATATATTTATATAATCCCGTTTTCTTTTCCAGATTTCTTTGCGACGATAAAACGTCAACTCACGAACGACATTCTGATGTGGCGTACGGCGAGTTCTGTTCTTCATTTAATGCCCATCAGTGGGGTCTACAGTTTCCTGCCCAAGTATCTCGAGAAGCAGTTCCGACTGCCCACACATGATGCCAACCTTGTCTCGGGTGAGGTACTAAGAACTCTTTGAGTATTGGTGGGATGGTGAAATTCGTGACATGATTGTGGTGAATTACGATGCTTATGCTACGTGGTGATGATTTTTATGATTCTGTTTGCTTGCTATTGCGTGGGCGAACAGTCGTTTTTACCATTTAAGGGTAAATTAGTTTACTTTAGGCTTGGTAAGTCGCAGGTCCGGATGTCTTAATAAAAGCTGTTGCCGGATCCCTTGTATTTTAGACGTAATAGAGCATACTGTGTGGTTTTGGTATCCTTGTTTTCGACGCACAACCCCACCAAGAAGTAAAGTGGGGTGACGGCCCGAGAGGATTACTACTCACACACACACACACCCAAATTAGCTTTACTAAGCGTCCAAACTGGCATCGAGCTGTACAGATTTATATTAAAATTTGAAAGAAAAGCCAGAAGAATCGGTTCATATCGGCATTGGGCTGGTTGAGGTTCTTTGTTTTAAGGAAGTATAGGCGTGCCATATACTAACGTCATAAGGGCGCTGAGAGAAACTGTTATCATATTTCTTGGTTAATTTCTAATATACACGCACATTTATTTCCTAGTTTCTTTAAACCAGTCCTATATACTTATAGGAAAGTGGTTTCTATGTAAACATTAAATACACATATAACCGCCTTACTAGCTTTCGTCAGTGCCTTTATTCGCGGGATGTAACAAAAAAGTAAATAATAAGTATAATTCGAAAAACTGTAGCCGGCAAAATGTTGGCATTTTAGGGGGTAGGCCTCTGCTTACGTCTTTCGGGGATATAGCTATAGATTGCATAATTGTGACCTTAGCCCAGCTTCAGAACAGGGCGGTACTGTTCCATGGTGCCGATGGAAATTTCGTCTAATTCTCTGGCATCCGAACCTTTGTATCGTAGATTTATTTAGAATTCGGTTTACATACAGGGTATCGGCAGGGCAAAGGCTCAATGTTTTCCTGTGTTATTAAAATGTTGAATGTCCACATCTAAAGACGTAGCAGTTTTAAGCAACATAGCTTGTTATAAAAAATACACTCTTTTAAATAAACACTAGTTCTCAAATATATAGAAGTCTGAAGTCGAATAAACCTCAGGTAAAACAAAAATAAGTTCAATATTGCCTGTTTCGACTTCTTAAGAATTATTAAAACCAATGTTAAATTGTAATGTGAAAACGAAGACCCTCAAAAAATGGGAAACACATTTAATTGTAAGTTTTTAATATTTCAGGTCTGGGTGGTATCTTAGTGATGGGTTTGGGTACAATCACGTCTGGCGTGATAATATTGAAGCTTGTGCCATCTGCTAAACAAGTAGCGGCATGGACGGCTGCTAGTGCTGCCATCTATAGTGCTGGTGAGTGAAAACAACCAATTTCTTTATTCTGTCTATTCATATTAATAACATATCGTTAAGATTTCTATTTGCATTAATGAAACGAAATATATCTTAAAAAATATTACACTACTGTTGTCAGGCATACCAAGACACGTGTAGTTAGAGCTTCTGATAAATATCATCATCATCATCATCAGCCTACCGCAGTCCACTGCTGGACATAGGTCTCTCTCATTGCACGCCACTTAGATCGATTTTGGGCTTCTCGCATCCAATTCCTGCCAGCCATCTTGCGCAAATCGTCACTCTACCTGGCCTGTGGGCGTCCTACACTACGTTGATAGAGACGCGGTCTCCACTCAGGAACTCGTTTTCCCCAACGGTTGTCGGTTCTGCGGCTAATATGGTCAGCCCACTGCCACTTCAGCTTGCTGATCCGGTAGGCTATGTAGGTGACCTTGGTTCTCTGCCGGATCACCTCATTCCTGATGCAATCCCTTAGAGAAACGCCGAGCATAGCCCTTTCCATAGCACGTTGAGCGATTTTGTTCTTGTGGACCAGCCGTACCGTAAGTGTCCACGTGTTGGCTCCGTAAGTCATGACGGGTAGGACGTACTCATTGAAGACTTTCGTCTTAAGGCACTGTAGCATCGACGATGAGAAGACTCGACGTATTTTCCCTAACGCTGCCCTACCCAACTGAATTCTTCTGAAACCTCCTCCTCGAAGTTGTTTCTACCTAACTGCAATGTCTGCCCGAGGTACACATAATTTTGAACACCTTCGAGAAAGGCACCGTGTACCGCAATCGGTTCCGGTAGTACATGTTCGTTGAACATGACCTTGGTTTTATCCAAGTTCATCCGTAGGCCGATGCGTATAGAAGAGTCAGCTAGGTCATTGAACATCTGCTGTAGGTCCTGCAACGTCTCTGCCAGATGATGATATTGATGCCACGCCCTTTCCAGTGCAGCGTCTTGAACATGTCCTTATTAATTATACTACTAATTATATTCTTCGGCCTTCTGTATAATCTGCGGCACTGTGTGGATGTGGTCTATGTTGCCATATCCGCTCCGAAACCCAGCTTGCTCCGGTGGTTGGAATTCGTCGAGTTGGAAAGACGGTTCGTGATGACTCTCGAAAACAGCTTGTAGTTGGAAGGGATATGGGTCGATAGTTCTTTAACATGGTCTTGTCGACCTTTTTGAAGAACAATTTGTTGCAGATGTGACCACCAGACCTTGCACCTACCGACTATTACTTTTCCAAAATTTAGACAACTTTTTAGTGGGTAAAAAATTCAATCCCCGAGAGGCAGTACAAAATGCCTTTGAAGAGTTTGTTGCCTCCCGTTCAGCTGATTTTTACAAGAAGGGCATCAATAAACTGCCAATGCGTTGGCAAAGATGCGCCGATTGCATGGGTGATTACTTCGAAAACAGAAATAAAAAAGTTTGAAAAAATAAGTACTTTCACTTATTGCATATAAAACAGCAATTTCATAGGTAAAGACCTAATATAATAAATATGCCTATTAGTAAATTTAGTTATGTAATATATATGACATAACTAATTTTGTATTTATGCACTACTTTAGTATAGATAGTTCAACTCAGTTGTGCGCGCGGCCGTATGTGTGCGTGGGCTTATAAATATACAACTTTCATTCGTGTGGCAGTGACGCGGCAGTAGGACGACGACTGCCACACGAAAGAAAGTTGTATATTTACAAGCCCACGCACACATAGGGCCGCGCGCACAACTGAGTTGAACTATCTATATACAGGTGTACTTTGAAGCCTACTTTAAAGTTTTGTTCTCTATGTTCCAGGTATGATAGTGTTGATGTTTGTCAGTTGCCCCGAAGAGAACTATGCTATGATCAGCGAGGGTACGATCGCGAACAGCGGGCTAGACTGCAGCTCTGGCTGCAACTGTACCAATGTCCCCTTCAATCCTGTTTGTGGACAGGTTAGTTGCACTTTGTAGCCGCTTTTCTTCTCAGGCGGACTACTCACCGGCTGACCCAGTGGAGAGATCTATGAGATTACCTCAGGGCGCCTTCTAAGAGAAAAGAAGTGTGTGCGTGTGGGAAACCTACGGGACTCTTTAGAGGAAAACAACTTACACCTCAGTCATACATACATGTATATTTCAGAGAAAAAGTAGATTTACAATAAAAAAAAAATCAGAGGGTATAAAAAAAAAACCGCAGCGGAGCGCGTCAGAGCCGAGCTGATGGTGCTCGGTGCCTCCTCGTCCTCCAGGAGGTTACTTCCTCTTCTGCCCGAGTCGGCTATTTATATTGGATATGGATAAAAGTTTAATAAATTATAAGTTTAAGTACGTAACTCTTGGGTACGGCTGTCCGCTTGCGTCGTGAGCCGCGCAATCACCAGCTTTGCCAGAGGGTACCGAGAAACTTGAGTCTGTACCAGAAGGCCACAAAAGAGCAAGCACGCCGTCTAAGACTGACCGTCTTGACCCCGAAATCTGGGACCCTACGAATGGATTAGCACTCATATAAATTAAACAGGTTCCAGAAACAAATAGGTTTAAGAAGAATTGAGAGAATACTTACCACATTAGTGGGTAGATTATAACAGACTACATATTACGAAATTCTAATTACACGACAATCAAAACACTATTTAAGGTTGGAAGACACGAGATAGCAGAGTGTCTCCCGTGGCAGAAAGCCGGACCTATATATCCTCGGTTCAGGAATCTTCCAGAAGTTAACCCCTCCTCATCATTTCACTTTGACATTTACATTGAGAAAGAAAACAACGCTAACAAAATCAAAAGTAACTTGCTTTCCACCATAGCTGAACACTCTCAACACCTACACAATTTGACATGACAGAATAACAAAACAGATTAAAAAAGTAAGTCTTTTTAATTTATCTATGATGTCTCAAACAAACGCCATCTAGTGGTCCGAAAGTGAACAAAGGAGATCAATACCGTAGCTACAAACTACTTTAGATAAATCTACAACAAAGCGATGCGGCCAACAGGTGTCGCTTTACTAATATACCAAAAAAATAACTGTTACACCACCCCCTCCCTCAAAGTATTCCCTGCGTAGTGTGCGCAGGGAATATCCTCAACAGGGCCAAAATCCATATAAGTGGTTTTACGAACCCCGTGGTTTAGGAAAACATTCTATACTATGACTCGCGACTACAAAGCCTGTGGCTATCCATATAGGACACCACATGACATAACCTGAAGCCATCCATATGGGACCCAAACACGACAGTAGGCCGGAAGCAATCCTCATAGGACACAAATAAGAAAAATTTTGATGTAGTCCGAGACCACAATTGAAAGAACATTTCCCATGTAGGAAATGTAGTGAATGGACCCCTCAGGTCCCAAAGGGGTGTCCTGAGAAGGTCTAGTCAGTTATAACTACACCGGCTAACCTATCTAGAAGGTATTTAGCCCTAACTCTAATAAGACAATTTATAGTACGAAACGGAGTCACCTGAAGAAAAAACCTGTTCCAGTTCAAAGACCTTAAGCCCGCTGACAGACCATGTCAGAGGCGGAAAAGGCAGGAACAGCGGCGATGGCCTTAAAGCGGCCACGCCGGATAAGCCGCAAAGCAGACCGCATTTCACTTCGCAATCCGACAACCGTATCCTCAGGATTCGCTGAAATCCCCATGGACGACAGTTCATTAATAATTTCATCTTTTTTAAGGTAGTTAATGCACTTACGTAAATGTGCCATGGTGGTTTACAATTTAAATTCGATTATACAAAAATAATCTTAACAACTTAACAAACCAGTAATGCAGACTTAATGTCTTTTACAGTTCAAAAAAAATAAAAAATAATGATATTGAGTAGACTTCTTCACTAATAACAGAGTGTGAGAAGGTTAAAGTAAATTAATATTTAAAAAATATTATAACAAAATATTAAAACATCAAGTAATATCTCAAAGTAAAAAATATTGCTACTGAGTATATTTCTTCACCATTAAGTGTGAGAAAGCTAAAGCAAACTAATATTTTTAACAAATATTAAAATAAAATATTAAGTAATATTTCAAAGTAGAAACTGAGTATACTTCTTCACTATTAAGTGTGAGAAAGCTAAAGCACACTAATATTTTTAACAAATATTGCAATAAAATATTAAAATATCAAGTAATTTCTCAAAACTTGAGAAGCAAATTCAACTAAAGACAAAGATATTCTTGTTTCACAATTCAAGACACAAGTTATATTATCTTTAGAACATTAACACAGTAATCCAATGAATTGACAAAGTTTAATTATCATAAAAGTTATTTCAACATAAATTTTAAGTAGGGTATGTATATCACAAAACTATTTTATTCTAATTTTAAGCCAAGAGGTTATATAAAAAAATGGAGGGTACATAAAACTTTATAAGTTAAGTTAAGTTCCATGTAAATTACACCAGTAGTACTGGGAAAAAAAACACACTGAATATACACGTATGCACAACTTCACGCTACGGACCTCAAAGGTACGAACAGAAGTAGCTAACACAAAAAAAAAAAAGAAGAGAAAAAAAAAACCAGTTAGGCCAAAAAATGTTTCAAACTCACCCGAAATATGTGCAGTAGGAATTTTGAGTTAAATTTGGAATTTAGGTGTCTCACTGATTTTCCTTGCCTCAGGGATGATGGTACGATAGGCTGAAAATACAATGAGAGTAAAATTATTACATGCGTACTGCACCCGCACAACCAATTAACGTCCTGGGGAGTATCGGACGGAGGGAAGTGTCTCCTCCAAAGTGAATACCCTCAGGCACCCTCACACAGCACACACACAGAGGTTTGGATCACTGGCCAAACGTTGGTCGCCAATTTGTAGCCGCTTTTCTTCTCAGGCGGACTACTCACCGGCTGACCCAGTGGAGAGATCTATGAGATTACCTCAGGGCGCCTTCTAAGAGAAAAGAAGTGTGTGCGTGTGGGAAACCTACGGGACTCTTTAGAGGAAAACAACTTACACCTCAGTCATACATACATGTATATTTCAGAGAAAAAGTAGATTTACAATAAAAAAAAATCAGAGGGTATAAAAAAAAAAACCGCAGCGGAGCGCGTCAGAGCCGAGCTGATGGTGCTCGGTGCCTCCTCGTCCTCCAGGAGGTTACTTCCTCTTCTGCCCGAGTCGGCTATTTATATTGGATATGGATAAAAGTTTAATAAATTATAAGTTTAAGTACGTAACTCTTGGGTACGGCTGTCCGCTTGCGTCGTGAGCCGCGCAATCACCAGCTTTGCCAGAGGGTACCGAGAAACTTGAGTCTGTACCAGAAGGCCACAAAAGAGCAAGCACGCCGTCTAAGACTGACCGTCTTGACCCCGAAATCTGGGACCCTACGAATGGATTAGCACTCATATAAATTAAACAGGTTCCAGAAACAAATAGGTTTAAGAAGAATTGAGAGAATACTTACCACATTAGTGGGTAGATTATAACAGACTACATATTACGAAATTCTAATTACACGACAATCAAAACACTATTTAAGGTTGGAAGACACGAGATAGCAGAGTGTCTCCCGTGGCAGAAAGCCGGACCTATATATCCTCGGTTCAGGAATCTTCCAGAAGTTAACCCCTCCTCATCATTTCACTTTGACATTTACATTGAGAAAGAAAACAACGCTAACAAAATCAAAAGTAACTTGCTTTCCACCATAGCTGAACACTCTCAACACCTACACAATTTGACATGACAGAATAACAAAACAGATTAAAAAAGTAAGTCTTTTTAATTTATCTATGATGTCTCAAACAAACGCCATCTAGTGGTCCGAAAGTGAACAAAGGAGATCAATACCGTAGCTACAAACTACTTTAGATAAATCTACAACAAAGCGATGCGGCCAACAGGTGTCGCTTTACTAATATACCAAAAAAATAACTGTTACAACTTCTCTTCCAAACACAAGGAATTAACAATATTGCAGCATAGTCGCAAAATTTTTATTAAGTGATATTAGTTACGTACCGAACGGTTTCTTATTGGTGAAAAATAAATATCGATTCTCGCAACCAGGCAATTTAGTCCAAAGCGCTTTAAAAATAAAATATTACGCCGAAACGGTTTTTTTTTGCTCTGAGCACGCTTGTAATTCTAGATTAAAGATTTTATTTCACAACTGCAGATATGGGAATTGCTTTTATTTTTTACTTGACAAACATTCATGAAACAGACACAAAGAACACCCAGACTCAGAACGAAAAATTGTGGATCACACAAGGTGTCGTCCCATGTGGGGATCGAACCCAAAACACTCAGGGTAGTAGAAAGCAGCGTGGCGACCGCTTAAACCACTCCGTCATCCGTGCAGTCAATTACTGTAATACTTTAAAATAACACCTTTTATTATAGAAGCTTTGAATTGAAAATATTTTTTTAACTCATAAGACAGAAGAAGATAGCGTCGTCAATAAGGTTATGGTTAAATAAATTATTTACTTACCAGCTATTGCGTTTGCCGTGTGTACAGTGTCATATTTAAATGTGTCTTGCGCTGTTTTCCTCCATTTTATGTTTTAATGTATTTTGTTTCAGGACTCTTTTACGTACCTGTCGCCTTGCCAGGCAGGATGTCTCGACAGTCATCAGTTAGACAACAATACGTGGCTGTACACCAAGTGTTCCTGCATCAAAGCGGACGGTTATGGAGACAAGGCACTTGCTACGTAAGTTATCGTTTACTTTTATATCTTGATGGCATTTAGTTACATAAAAAGGAAAATTCAAGTCATAATAAAAATGGAAAATAAACTTTAGCTAACATAAATTGAAAGACTTTTAACAAAAAATGGACAAAAAAAGATCTACAAAAATCCAAAAACTTTTACTAGAGAAATATGATGCACAGAATAACCAGAAACTGAAACAAAAGCGTTATCATTTCTTTTATAGTCTGTATGACTATTCCTCTCCCTAATCTTATCTCGCTACGGTAAATATTATAACGTTTACGTTATTTTTGGGTCCAATTTATTTTAAATGTTATGATTGAATTAATAGGCATCGGTCTACCAATACCGTATTCTGCTTTTTATTTATAATTTCACATCCTCGAGACTTGATGATAAAGAAATCAAAGAAATAGAAACAAGGTAACGAGCGAGCTTTACAGTAGTCGCACATGATGTTAAACATCTGACACCTCACCTCTGCCATCTGATGGCCAACTCTAGCATCGTGCGCGCTCATTGGTCAAATCAAATAGCGAACGCTGTAGCGGCTTCCTGTTACACAATTTCGTCCCTTTTCAAGAAATTGCAGAAAAGGAAGAGACAAGGATGTTTTTTTTTCAGGCTGGACCGTTACAGTCTGCACAACACGTCGTCGGACTGGTCGGGTGACTTGGGATTCGCGGTGAGTGGTGAGTGCAAGGGGCCGTGCAACCAGATCTACACGTTCGTGGCGGTGTTCGCCGCCATCATGTTTGTGCACGCCAGCGGAGAGGTGGGGGCCGTGCTGCTCATTATACGCTGTACTGACAAGCAAGGTGAGGAATAGTAACAATAAATATAAACTAGATTTCCTCGTTCCTAGTGACATTCATTGCTTCTCGTATAATATTTGTGACTGTACGAGCTGTACATGATTTGATGACTCTACACTTTTCAAAATATATATAGAATAATACGCGTTTTAAACGGTTGTGCAATATCGATCGCTGGACTAAACACATGACGCGTAGTAGTATAAAATCGCTGATTAGGTAAATTTGTAATAATTATCTCAGTGAAAATAAAGCGGGTTTTACGTTAACCACAGCACACTCTTATTTTATCTGAACATCACCTATAATGTACAAACTTCCACTGCTCCAACAGCTATCTGATGTCACGGTACAGTGACCGTTAGAAGAAATTATATTATTAAGGAATATGCTTAAACAGTCGCTAACAAAGTTATTACGTGCCCTACTTTTGTTGTCGGGTCTATATTTTCGCGAGTCTTAGTAAAATAATCTTTTCATCAAAAAAAAGAAATTGTAAATAGGTAAATGAGTCATTACTCATGACGTTTATATTTTAAGAAAGAAGGAATTTTAAGAAGTATGGTAAAAATGGTGAACTAGCAGTAATAGTGAGGTGAACGTTGACAGATAAAGCGATGGCGATGGGCGTGATCCAGTTTGCGATCGGCGTGTTCGGCAACGTGCCCTGCCCCATCGTGTTTGGCGCCGCCGTGGACGCGGCGTGCCGCGCGCGCGACGTGCTCTGCAACGTGCTCGGCGCCTGCGTCTCCTACGACAACGACAGCTTCCGACACTTCTACCTCGGTACGTAACACATGTGCGTGCCGCGCGCGACGTGCTCTGCAACGTGCTCGGCGCCTGCGTCTCCTACGACAACGACAGCTTCCGACACTTCTACCTCGGTACGTAACACATGTGCGTGCCGCGCGCGACGTGCTCTGCAACGTGCTCGGCGCCTGCGTCTCCTACGACAACGACAGCTTCCGACACTTCTACCTCGGTACGTAACACATGTGCGTGCCGCGCGCGACGTGCTCTGCAACGTGCTCGGCGCCTGCGTCTCCTACGACAACGACAGCTTCCGACACTTCTACCTCGGTACGTAACACATGTGCGTGCCGCGCGCGACGTGCTCTGCAACGTGCTCGGCGCCTGCGTCTCCTACGACAACGACAGCTTCCGACACTTCTACCTCGGTACGTAACACATGTGCGTGCCGCGCGCGACGTGCTCTGCAACGTGCTCGGCGCCTGCGTCTCCTACGACAACGACAGCTTCCGACACTTCTACCTCGGTACGTAACACATGTGCGTGCCGCGCGCGACGTGCTCTGCAACGTGCTCGGCGCCTGCGTCTCCTACGACAACGACAGCTTCCGACACTTCTACCTCGGTACGTAACACATGTGCGTGCCGCGCGCGACGTGCTCTGCAACGTGCTCGGCGCCTGCGTCTCCTACGACAACGACAGCTTCCGACACTTCTACCTCGGTACGTAACACATGTGCGTGCCGCGCGCGACGTGCTCTGCAACGTGCTCGGCGCCTGCGTCTCCTACGACAACGACAGCTTCCGACACTTCTACCTCGGTACGTAACACATGTGCGTGCCGCGCGCGACGTGCTCTGCAACGTGCTCGGCGCCTGCGTCTCCTACGACAACGACAGCTTCCGACACTTCTACCTCGGTACGTAACACATGTGCGTGCCGCGCGCGACGTGCTCTGCAACGTGCTCGGCGCCTGCGTCTCCTACGACAACGACAGCTTCCGACACTTCTACCTCGGTACGTAACACATGTGCGTGCCGCGCGCGACGTGCTCTGCAACGTGCTCGGCGCCTGCGTCTCCTACGACAACGACAGCTTCCGACACTTCTACCTCGGTACGTAACACATGTGCGTGCCGCGCGCGACGTGCTCTGCAACGTGCTCGGCGCCTGCGTCTCCTACGACAACGACAGCTTCCGACACTTCTACCTCGGTACGTAACACATGTGCGTGCCGCGCGCGACGTGCTCTGCAACGTGCTCGGCGCCTGCGTCTCCTACGACAACGACAGGTTCCGACTCTTCTAACTCTGTACGTAACACATGTGCGTGTCGCATGCGAGACAGCTTTGGCAGAGATCAGGGTTCGACCGCCCTCAACGCAAGTATTTGTATGCACAAATTTGACTTTTACATTTTCATAATAAAAAATATATTTTCATCAATGTTTTAGAGCTCAAAGAAAAAGTTCAACATTTATTTTAGCGAATTAAATATTAAAGAGTTTTGTTGTCCCAAATTTAAATAGTCCCAAAATATTACAATTAAAAAAAGTCCTGCGTGGTGTTTGTACCTTTTTGTTATTTAAATATACCAATGGCGAATGCCATATTTTTCACAAAATTACAGATAGTATCATTTTTAATTTTCGTAATATTATACTTAGGTTTATCGGCGACACTGATGTTCCTGGCGTTCATAATGGACCTGTTGGTGTGGAGCAAGGCGGGGCGCATCGACATGAACCCGGCGGAGGCGTGCTCGCCCGACGCCGAGCCCTTCGCCCCTCGCCCCGCGCCACCCGCCCCCGCACCCGCGCTCGCCCCCGCCCCCGTCCCGCCCGGCGACACCCAGCTCTGACACCACACCATACACGAGTCGCACTTCTAAACGTGTGCAAGTGCACTGCGCGCCCCGGTGCCCTCTCGGTGCGTGTGTACCCACATCACCGTATTACGCAGTGTAAAGGTTGGACTTGAAGCCTGGGATGGCGTCACTACTCATGTGGTGTACGTCGCAGGCGGTTCAAAACTTCAGATAATACTAGATTTGTGTGCACTTGCATGTAATCGCCGTGGGTCGGTTGTGCGTACGCCGGTTGATGTTAATCTCAAATATGAATAAATCATAAAAGCTTTAGACTAAGGTTCGGTAGACTTAGACCCTTTCGGTGTCGAGTATTGAGGCGAGTATAATGAAGAGCGGTCGATCTTGATGTAACCCTATTGCGGTGAAACGGTGTTTGTTGACAATTCGATATAAATGAAACCGGCGAAACCGCCATTATGAGCCATATTATTAGGAAAAAAGGACACGTCATTGAATTGTTTTGCCGCGTATTTGGACAAAAGTTTTGTATTTGGACAAAATTTAGATACTATTTGTACATAAAACCGAATTACGAAGGCCAATATTTTGGTTATTTATAAGTTTTAACTGATCTTTTTTTTTGTTTGCAACACTTCAACGTGACTGAACAATGAAATAATAATATTATGTGCATTTTATTTTCATATCTATGCATTTTATATACTAGTTAATTTACTGTATAAGTATATGCTCAATTTTATAATCATAATATAAAAATAAATAAACTGACTTCGGGCATAATAATCGTATACATAATAAAATTATACAATGAAGGTTCGGGAGCAAGCGTTTTATATACCAAATTACACAGCTACTTATGTAAAATTATGTATCATGTAGAGCCAATATACGGCAATCGTTGTAGATAATATATAACTTAATTAATTATACTATACATATTGTATAAAAAAAATCTTTTATCTCACTGCAGTGTTGGTAACTTTGACAGTGACTGCGAACCAGTTTTTTTGTTTCTTCGTTTTGTTCATGTTACGTACCAGTGAGAGGGAAGCTTTACAATCAGTTATTAGAGACGGTCCCATGCACAATGCTGAATGTATACATCACTTTAAATAACATCACATAATAATACTATATATGGGACCGAGATATGTATGTAAATGCTAGAAGTATACATTGTGGAAAGTAAATGAAATAGCAGTGAAATAAGTACACATACAACTTATAATTAAATAAATAAATAAAATAAATTTTAGATACGAGACGTAAGTGATTGTTTAGACACAAATATACATAGGCTAGGAAGTTTATTATTAAGAATATGTGAGTACTCCAATGAGGTGAGTAGAAAAAAGTACATAAAATCGTAACGTAATGAAAGTAGTTGAATTGAGAATGTAAAGGATTTGCTTAAGTTTTTGTTACAGGGTGTGCTTCTAGCATTACATCAATTTCGGTTATTGCGATTCACATGGCTAGTGATTAGACTTTATATTAGTTTTTAGTATTTTTTTCGCAACAAATAATTACTGAAACCCTTGTAAATAATATTAAATGAATTGGAACTGTAATCACATTAATATTAGTTTAAAATAAATATATTTGTAGCTAGGATAAAACATTTTTTATCTTTTATATAATCAATTATTTTTATTTTGTTATACTTCTCTTGCTACGGTCGGTCGTTATTTTTTGTTGTTACATATTGGTAACAGTAGACATAAAAAGGTGTGATAATTCGTGCCTCATCTCATAACGAAAGACCATAGCCTGAGTGAGATAAGCATATTTAATAAAAAGGCTGGGCCGCGTGTAAAACTACTTAGTGAAATTAGATTAGCGGTTTTTACAATATTTTTGTCATAATAATATATTAAATACGTCTTTGTAACTGTCCCAAATGTAGAAGACAGACGCTAGAGGTCACTACCGTCACCCGGAAATACATTTCTTATTTCTGTAATGGAGACATTTTAAGATTGGACTATGTTTTTTTATATTTATGTGGAACTACTTTTACATAACAGATGCTGTAATGTGTCATGTAATAATAGAGATCTGGTGATAATTGGCCTGAAATGCACAAAAACTATGAATATATTATACTGATACATGTATTTATTTTCGCCGATTTTTTATGCGTGCGTATTAGGTTATACGAAATTTTACATTAAAGTTACTAATTATGATTAATTAAACCATAAGATAGAAAATTTAATAATAAACAAACTGTTAAATTTTAGATGTTTTTGATATTATTAGGTATTTGATCTTCAACGGATTTAATTCATCAAAATTTATTAAAAAACTTATTGATGCATGTTATCGTATTTTTATTTGCAATAATTTTATCTATTAACAATCAAAATGAAAAAGTTACATTTAGTAAAACATCGTAAACATTAAACGATACATCGTTGTATTTTTTTTAACAGTAGCTGGTGATATCTTCATAGTGCTGCATTTCAGGCTAAATTTAATAAAGTAATTGTGTGTTATACAGACCGTCAGGACAACATCATTTATTTGCATAAAACTGTAGTTTACTGACCGAAGCTTGTAGCGGTTTTAGTATATGTATCTTTAAAAAATTGATATTAATTTAGTTAATTTATAAGTGCAATAACCTAGGTTTTATTTGTCATCGAAACTTTTTAGTGACAACGAAACCATTTTTTTGACGTAATACAAATAATAGACATGGAGGAGGTATTAAAAAGTTAATATAGGTTTTTTTGGTTTAATTAAAAAAAAAAAAAAACTGAAATTGGCTGCAATAAGCGCGATTAAGTGTTGCAAGGCATAAAATAAAACCGATACTGATTAATTTTAATGTTGTATTTATTTGTATTGGATGATATTAATTGTTGTCAAAATGACTTTTTAATACTAATGTCTTTAACTACACGAGTTTTTATAGCTAAAATGATGACCAAACACATAAAATTGTTCCTTATTAATTGAACGTCGTGCATTATATCGTGTGCAATCTTATTATATTAATCATTTTAACTTTGTTGTTACATTTTTTAGCGAATTATTCTTACTGCTCTATAAATATATATTTTTTAGTAAAATTATTAAATAATCACGACTTTTAGCGAAAATTTACGACTCTGTAAATGCAGAAATATCAGACGAATATTTAAAAACGTGTAGAGATTTTTTATTAAATAATGATATTTTTTTAAATATACCTTTTAATGAATTATCATTGTTGTAATAAGTTTGCTTTAGTAATATTGCGTTAATGTGTTTTAACACTAAGCGTTTTAGTAGGTTAGGAGTCGTAAGCATGATATATTTAGTTTTATCGTATAGTTCATCTGTTGTATTTAGCCTGAATGCGTGTTTAGTTGAAAGTGTATGAGGTATATGTAGAGTGTTCACACTAAATCTAACACTAATAACTGGCTAACGTAAACTGCAATTTAGAGAATATTTGAAAAAATTGGGATAGTATAGGTGAGAAGGAACGACAAGGGTAACTCGAGGGTCAAGGTCTTGTAATTCTTGTATACTTGTAATTCGATTTGGCTAAATCCGGAAATTCGGGCCTCCAAACGGTTTTTTTTTGTTTTATTCCGATTTATTTCAGTTCTTCTAACTTTTACTGCTAGCTAATAATGGCGGTTGTTTTTTTATTGTGAACATCCTACATTTTTTTTTTTCGATGGAATATATGTTCGGATAATATGTAGGCCATAGTGTAGTTAATGTTTACATACTATTTACTATAATAATATCGTATAGTCCATTCGCGTTAAGAAAATAACGACGCATTGATCTAGGTGCATCCTCTGACCAATCAGTTTCCAAGCTTTCGTGCGAAACGATAATTTCTTTGAACCTGATTGGTCAGGGGGCGGGGCTTGATCGATGCGTCACTATTTTCTTAACGCGAATAGACTACAGTTACATCTCAGTGGTAGCTTTTAGATCAATTTGTTGTTTGTTGCTGTAATTTTACTGTAAACAATTGAAGTTTCTTTGAATGTAATGTCTTGTAATAGTGAACACAATTAACTAGTCTACGATTTAATGTTAGGAAATTATACCTCTATTTTAGATTTTAAAAAGTGTATCATCACTTATTATTGGAAAAGTGTACGTATAGTAGCGGCCATTCATAAACTACGTTTAAAAACAGGCGTTGTTATGACGGTATTGCGAAATATTAGTATTTGTGTTATTCATCGTAAATCGCAGGACAAAAAGGGAAGAATGTAAAGAAAATGTAACGATAGTTTGTTGCATAAACATTATGCTTAAATATATTCTTAACCTATAAGGGATCATCCACAAAATACGTCCCATAACATTCTGATCATGACATGATCACAACATGATCCTTCCCTTTTCGATGGATGAATAACACCAGTATTAATAATTGCACATACCGTCAAATACGGCAATTTGCGCTTTTTTTAAGGCACAATCTATGTGACTAAACAATTTTGTTCATTTTAGTACATATTTTTTCTTTCTTTCAAGGAACGTATCCGAGCTACGTGAACATTTGTTACAAGATTTTAGCCCCTTCCCGTCTTGGTGACTAACCGTAATATATCCTCTCCCCTCTACTATTGACTTCGTGCCCTAACTACGAAACCTAAGTCCTCCTCCTCTATCTGTGAGCAAGCGTGGTATTTTGAATACCACGCTTGGTCACAGTCTCCCCGTCTGAATGGGTCGCGCAGTATGGGTGCGTTCCCTTGCAGGATTGATTTAAACGCCTTCTTGGTACATCACTTTTATTAGATTATAAGTATTGTGTAGATTTGTTATTGTGACTTCAAGTCGTTTTTTAAGTATTTGTAATAAAAACTTGAGATGGAAACTTCTTTTTTGGTTTGATTTAATTTCATGTTCCCTTTTTACTTTTATTTAGACACTTGAACAATTTAATATTAATAGTACAAAATAAATTAAACAAAACGATATAACAAATTTTACAATTAAGTTTTTTTGCATGAAATAAATATTATTATTATTAATAATAATAACTTCTCACACATAGCCATCTGATCCCAAACTAGACTGAGTTAAACTGTCTTGGAACCCACAACGAAATTAATCAGAAGTAAATTGGAGTAGTTGGCAATATAATAAATCCACTTCACTCCTTAGCAACGCGGGCAAAATAAAGCAATAAATAACCATACACCATATTAAACAGGGAAGCACCACGGACACAAAAACATTATGGGTCCTAAGAGATATATTTAATGCCAAAAATGTGTATGGTAGAACGCCCAAATTCATAGAAATTTAACCTAGACGATACAAGATCCTTATAGTATAGCTACCACCACGATGTCATCTGTGAGCTATTCATTACATAGTGTCATGTAATTCGATTATATCGTCCGTGCGTGAAGTAAATCGATTATGTTTAGGTCATGGCGGGTATTACTATTGTGGCTCATCATGGCTCCGAAAGTTACCGACTTAACAATCAACACTTAAGAATTCCAAATTTTATTGCTGCGTTTTTGAGTAGCTGGAATAAACTTCAATCATTGGCTATAAAGATATAGAAATGGTTATTAATATTACTAACATATAAAGAAGAAGAATTGTAATTGTGTATATTGTGGTATGTATCTTTCTTCGTTTAAGGCGGCAACTATTAGAGAAAATTAACCGTTTGTTTTTTGTCTATTGTTAATTTGAAGTTGCAAAAACGAAATCGATTACTCTGAATCCGTGACTCATTGTGATGATAACGATCTGGGCTTAATATACGGTGGCTTGATAACTGACGTTTCTTGAGCATTACAACAAAAAACAAAGTACCTACCTATGTTCGAAAGGTTTAGGTACTTTAATAAATGTACAAAATAAAATGAACGTGACAAATGATTGTTAAACATCTTTTCCTAAAAATATTTATTATTTCAAGTACGAGGGCTATACCCTACCTGCTCGAGCTGCTAATACCTTCCGTCCAGCCCTCCCTTTTTAACATCACTTACTTTTTAATATTAAAAAGTAAGTGATGTTAGTATTAATTATATCATCTTTAAATTATCAGTTTCCGATCGACGGACGATTGTTAGTTGACATCAATAGCGGCAAGGACTTCCTTTATGTCAAAGAAGCAGGAGTATAATAAATAATAATTATCAGTCTAAGAGTAATGGTAATGTTAATACATTACCGTTACCATTCATGTTAATAAATAGTTCTCATGGTTTTATGTCTATCATTAATATGATATGATGTTTCACCACATATGGCATGGCTTGAAATCTTTGCAAATATTTCATCCTGAAATGCAAAGACTTGCGAATGCGACGACAACGACAACGTTGGCTGACGTTAGCCTCACAACCTAGATGAATCTAGGCAGTGAGGCTAACGTTTTCTCATTTGCCCCCTAATGCCATAAATAAGTTGAATTCCATTTTGACAATGAAGACTTCAATACATTATTCTCATTACTACTGCACCTACAACTGTGCGCAAAGTGAAAAGAATATTTTAATCTGTGTGTTTTATGTGTATTAGACAGAACTTTACCCACGATATTGCTTCTCAATTTCTCAATTGACTGTTGGAATCAGAAACGAATCCGTACTAAGGGCTCGGATTAATCATCTTCTTTAATAGTATGCCTGCTTTATATTATTTATTATATATTATATTATATATTAGGTAGGTGCTATTCACTAAGTGCCCGACTTAGAGCCGTCCAAAAGACATGGCAAAAATAAATGCAAATATTTATTGTTTCTTCATTAAATTTTATAAGAATATAAATTGAATATAATATTTATTGAAACTCAGTTTTGTGTTAAGCTCGCCTTTGTACATGACATTTCCTTGTTACTTATATATATGTATGTGTTCATAGTGTACAATAAAGAATAAACAAATGAAGAATATATGGCAAAATTTATATTGCGTAGATCGGTTTTGAAAGTAGAATTTGCAGTCTCTATCTGTAATAAAAGCCAACAAGTAAATTTAATGCAATTTTAGAAACAGACGCTTGGATAGAATAGGCGAGATTTCATGGAAATCACTTGGGGGGTTAAGCTCCGGAAACCTCCCTCACTTCGGTGCAAAGCAACGAAAGAACTGCTTAACACCGGCTTGGGTGACAATGTAATATCATGATGGAGCTGGCCGTCGCTGCAGGACGTTTCACTGCTTGAAGATGGGCTTCCCTCGGGTCCTAGGTCTCGTCGGGTATCTTTGAAATATATAAGTGAATAAAACTGTTCATCACTAAAAATTATATGAACACTCACGCAACTTCTTATTTTATTCCTTTTACTACGTGGCTTAAATAAAAGCATATTTTTAGATTCCTTTTTTTAATTATATTATAGTCAACTTCATCGACAGCCTTTAATATTCCACTGCTGGACATAGGCCTCTCCTTAGAAAGGTGGTTTTGGCCTACTATGCCACGCTGCCCAGACGGGTCGGTATAGGGGTTGTGTCAAGTTTTCCTTCTTTTTGCAGTGCTGGTATCCTGCGTTGTTTTGCGCTCTTAGTCGGCTCTTACGACACCCACGGGATGAATTGGGGTAGTGACATTCCGTATCCTTAATCCGTCACTACACGGACAAGTAGTCAACTTATTTGAATTCTATCCAATTCTCTGGTCATGTCAATAACTATGATTCAGTAACAATATGAGGAAAACCTAACATTCGATGGCTACTATTTTCTACTCGTGCGTTAAGCTTAAATCGTCACGGTGTACAAAAAAATATGACTGGATATTTTGCAATTTCGCGTGGATAGAATTGGATGACTGTGAGATTTTGGACAATGGTTTGGGCGCGTTATAAAACGATGTACCTGAGAAAAACAGGTACAGTTCTTTAGATCAAGCTTCAACATGGTCAGATTAGCAGTCACTGTTCTCATTGTCCTCATCGCCTCTTGTTTCGCGGCCCCGGGTAAGATATGTTTTTTTTATTCTGTAAAGTATTTTAGAATAGTTTCAAATACTTCATACACCAAAAGTCACTTACAGGTTTGTGCTGCTTAATGGTTTAATTTTCTAAAACAACAGTTATAGTTCTGTAGTTTTTTGGTCCAATTTTTTTTTGTTCTTAAAAAAATTGGTAACTGTTGTGTGTGTCCCACTATCTTCTAGATTCCCCGAAGAAAGTGGGCATTGTAAAACAATATAAACTATACTGTGTATTATGCTTTAAAGATGGTTGGTTGAAACGTTTCAAATAGTGAATATCGTTGGTATTGGAATAAGCACAAAACAGAGAATAAGGCTTTATTCTCTGTTCTGTGTTTTCTTTTAGGTAAATATCCTTAAATATTTTACGAATGAAATCGATTCGAAACCTTAATAAAAGTTCGCTTAGCCATGCTCTTTTAGTTTAGATGCGTCAGGTATTCTGTAACTTATTACATTTACACAACATTTTATACAAAACATCGATTTGAAGAAAGTGGCTGTCAGCGGATGGATGCGGACTGCCTAAGACCTTTATAATATGCGCTAGACATGGAAGTTATTGCTATTTTTAAATCATATTCATATGATGCAATGATTCGTTTTAGTCACAGTGATTTCACATAAGACTGTGATTTGGTCCTAGATTCTTTTTATCAAAGATTACGCCCTTTTTTTATTTTAGACCTAGTCTAGTGCCAGCGTAATAATAATAAGCCGCAGTGGTTTTGTAAATTAGTCATTCATTGGTCAGTTTATCGCAGGTGATTGTAATTTTATTCCATCCCTAGTTGGCGCTCTTTGCGGGAGGCCTTTGTTCAGCAGTGGACGACGATAGGTTGATGAGAATATAAAACACAGTGATCGCATAATGAATTTAAAGACTTCTTTGGCCTGTGGCTGATCCCATTCTTAAAAACCTTTATTATTGTTAATCCTGGCATACATAATAGTCATATCAATCATGACAATGTTGTCACTACGAGATGTTGACTTTGATTTCTATTCTCAGGAGACCGCATACGAATCAGAAGACACGCTTATGACTTCGGCCATGGAGGCTACAGTGGTGGACATGGTGGCTTTGGTAGCCACGGTGGTTTCGGGGGCCACGGTTTTGGAGGAGCCACTTTTCCTCTTACTCAATCTTTCAGTCAGTCGAAGGCCTCAGCAAGTTCATCTTCCGTTGGTGGAACTGTATCAGGGTAAAAATGTAAATAAAATTCTCAGTTGAATATATTATGTAGCTTGAATGTTGTGATTTCATATAAAATATAATGATTTTTAAATCAAATTAAAATCGTACATTCTGCTAAGGGCCAATCTTGTTCATCCAGTTGCCCAGGAAGAGAATTCTTTGGCGCCCTTTGATTTTTATTTTAGATTAGATTTGCATAAAACTATTTTTTTTAGAAGCCCGATATGACTTCTAGGTTCTTCATTTCAAAGTTCATTTTAAAAATATGGTCTCATTCAGACGAACAAAGTATATATCGATACCACATATAAATATACAATGAGTCAGAACAGCTTAATCCTTTAACATATCATTAACATAATAACACACTATGTAAGCGTTGAAAAATTCCTCCGCATCGTGGCCAGAAAGCAGACAGCAATGTCTGAGCTAGATAATCATTTTATAACTCAGAGAATTAGCTTTTTCTGACCAGAAGTGTGTTTGTGTGTTTGCTGCTTGATTCTTGTTACTAGACCATTATATTCATTGTATTTTTCAGATGATTTTCCAGTGGTCCGCAATCCAACGTATACGACTAAAAATAAAGTTGACCTGATGGGTCGGACTTATTTAAGATAACTATTAATTAATAAAATAAAATATCGATATTAAATTATTGTATTAAAGTTAAAGCTGTTACATCGACGGGATACTGCCTATACCTCTTAATGGACTTTTTAGAATCACCGCTTTTTTAGCATTTTGAATTCAAAGCTACAACAAGAATTGCCATAATTCAATGTAATATCCAGACCTGTTTTAGTTCTAGTTTAGTTTTTAGTTGTAATGTGAAAATAACTTTAAACTAAAGTTATAAGTTCATTACATTTCACTATAAGCGATGTACTTCTAAACACTATATTATAACAGTTATTAAAACAGATGTGGGAGAACCATGCTTTTGAACAAATGGGCCAGCTCGACCGGTGTTATACCACGGCTTTACAGAAAACCGGTGTTAGGCAATTGTTTGCTTTTGCTTTTTTATCCAATATACCATAAAAAATAAAACATAAGTTACAATATTTTACTATCAATAAAAATTTATATTAATAACTTTCTTTCTAATATCTCAAATTAAATCCGGTTTCTGTTGATTTATTGATTTCGTCAGTTAAGAGTTATTGGCATTTCGTCATCGATATATTGTAAAATAAAAACAAGCATGGTTGTAACTAGTTGTAATAAACTAATCTATTGTTTATAAACATTCAAATCAGAGGCTTGTTTTTTATTTGACCTACCTATAATTTCAGCGAATCGTGTTTTAGCAGTGGAAAAATACAAAGTTTTTCTTGGAATTCTAGCACTTTAAATTGTATTGAGTGCTTGCTATTAATAGATTGTTATTTGATTACGTTTTATCGAACCTCGATAAAGTAGCTTCTAATGACATAATAGCTATTTAGTCTTTTGTTATTTGCTTATCTTAAATGTGAAATGTTTACGAAAACTAAGTTACTTAAGTCAAGATACCTACTTTGTCTTTCTGTATTTACTTATCTTCATTATTAACCGTCCCAAAAAAGGTGGAGGTTGTATTTTTTAATGTTTCTTCATAATGCCGTCATTTATAACCCTTTTTTTTTTTTTTTTTTCCGTGCGGAAATCCCCTCGGATACCACCTGTCGGTGGCATGTCGGACTCGAACCGACTAAAACCGCACGCCGTCGCCGGGTACTAATAGCCGGGGAACCAGGTATACCCTAGAAAGGAAGTCCCTGGTGCCCCGACATACCTCGGGTCATCTACAGACGAGTAGACGACCCCCCCCGTGTGGGAACCCCATGTTCCCTGTGCTCCCTGGAAGCGAGCGCGCTTCGCAACGCGCTCGCCGCCGCCCCGGCCTGCTTCTGCTAGGGTGACAGATGGCCTCACCTGTCACCCCCAGGCCTGCGCTTATGGAGGACGGAGGTCGTTCTGCGACCTCCGGCGCCTTAGTCGCCTGCGGTGCCTGGCCCGTGCCCGGGCCTGGCGGGCCGGGAGAGTCCTAAACCTCTCCCGGTCCCGCTCCGCCGTCTCCTTCGCGAGCATAACTTGCTCGCAGAAGGAGACGGCAGAGCTCCACGCACTCTCGCTCCGCACGATAGCCGCAATCAGGCTATCGAGCGAGAGAACTCCCACTCCGATGGCCGCCACGAGGTCTCGCCTCTGCTCAACCCACGCCGGGCACTCTGCCAGCGTGTGGAGAGCCGTGTCCACGGTCTGGCCATCGCAGTGGTGGCACTCAGGCGTTGGCTCCTTGCGGATCAGACACAGGTGATCTCCGAAACATCCCTTCCCAGTGATCACCTGCGTCAATCGGTATGAGAGGGTCCCGTGACGCCTCTCGAGCCAATCCTCCATAACGGGTCTTACCGCCGCAATGACGGCGTGCCCGCGTCATTTATAACCCTAATTGGAAAATTACTTCTTTATATTAAGAGCCCTCCCGATCAATGGTTTATTAAAGAAACTTATTAAAAGCCATGGACGTATAAAAAAAGTCGGACGGAACTCCCGCTAAGTAAAAACTGAGGCACACTATTGGCGGCAGCTCTCTATGTGTAAATGAATTTTGGGGTTGCCAAGTTACCCAAATGTCCAAGTTACCAAAAGTTACCAAAAACACAGTCAATAAATAAAAATATTTTATTTGTTCGAAATTTTACTGTTCAATGTCCAAAATGCTGCTATTTTTTTTTTATAATAATGTGTTTTACTTTGAGGGGTTCTTCAAATTTGCTCTAATTTCGAGATGTGATGGAACTTTTTAGTTACAATTTTTAATTATTTGAATCCAATCAATGAAGTGAAAAATGGAGTATAGAGGACATACTCCATTTTCCTTCGAAAATTGATAGAAAAAGTAAAATAATATGAAATAGTATACCTAGCAGTAATTATTAAACAAATAAGCTTAATAAATTGATTTTAATAAATTTTAATAACAAACCATCTTTTATTTCGGGTAATTTTCACACGTGAAAATTGGCAGCATTGGGCTGATAATGAATTCTTTTGTTGTAGCGAATGCTGATTAATTTTAATGTGTAAAATCTGGAAATAAGTGATTAAATTATTCATTTACCCATGAAATGTGATTTCTGGATTATTGTTATTAAAAAAAACGCAAGGTGCTTTTTAAAATATTTTATGATAAAATAACTTCTGCCAATGAAATATTTACAACTATTGACATCTAGCACCCCACGGTTTTTATAAATGAGTATTTCTTAATTACTCTATTTTTCTTTTTGAACTTACAGAAAATTATTGTCTACTTTTTAGTTCGTCTAGTTGCAAAAGCTTGTTTTTTCTTTAGTTTTTAAATTAATGTTTTTGCCAAAAGGAAGCATTGAGCGTGTAGAATCTCCTGAGCTACTTCCTAGTTCGAGTACCGTGTCTGAAATAAACCTCCGTCGTATATTTTTCTAGAAATAATAAGAAGAACAGACATCCACATTCATATTGCAAATATAAAAATTAGTTCTTTTGTTACGCTTTAAGCCTAAACCACTAAACCGATTGTTCTTTCACGAATGGAAAGAACAATATAGGTTACTTTTGCCGCGATAATCGAGATATATAATCCTGGAATGTTTTACACATTCCAGGATTATATATTTAGTAGAATAGAATTTTCTTGGATAGTTGAAAAACATGTTTTCATCATCGTCACATTCTATCAGGTGAGCGTAAAACAAATACCTTTTCGATTGGCTCCCCTCATTTAGAATTGAATCAGGTTTTATCCAGGTCATCTGATTAGGTAAAGACACTAAGAGCTTTGGTCAAAATGTACATCAGATTCTTGTTTCGTGCAGAAGAGCCAAGTGCTTCCTTATTAATATGCTAGGTTCGGCGCGCGGTAAAGAGTAGCTTATCTTATTTGCTAAGAATGTAGCTTACCATTGGTGAAATAATTTTTAAAATCGTTTTAGTTATTTAGGCGCAAAAGTGTAACAAACAAAAAACTTAACTCACTTTCACAGTTAAAGTATATCTATGGATATGACTGGACGTACGCACTTTTCTATTGCGCTGAGTGTAACACTTTGTGTGATCGTCAAATTGTTGTTCTAGGTCTGTGTGTTCTTTGTGTCCGTTTCATGTATGTTTGTAAAGTCCCCCGCGACACAGGATATATGCCTAGTGCGGGAGTTGTCTTTTCAAAAAGAAAAAGAAAGAAATATATACTTAGGTAGTTACAGTTTGTTGTATTAGAATGTAGCATAAGAATTAAAAATGGAGGTCATGTCTAATTGTTTTGCCTTAGGTATAAAAGGATAACGTCATTCCTAATGCTTAGAAACTTAATTATAATTGAATTGTTTTTGTAAAGTTACATAAATTATAATAAAAGACCCACGCAGTTCAATGATCATAATCTTAGAATTAAAATTATAATAATTATAGTGTTTTACTAAAAGATTCTTCAAAAAGTACACGTTAAGCTGTGTATATTTACTTACTAAATATAAGTAACGAGAATTGTATATGTATATTACAACTTGGATTTGCAATTCTTTTAATAGGATATTTTTAATATCACTTCGAAAATTCGTATTTAGGTTTGGACCCCGAGGAGGAAGTAGGGCCTGGCAGAAATTTCCTACATCTGACCAGCGGATCGCGCTTGTTTTATGTCCCATAGGGAAGTGAGGGCAGTAAAATAAAAACCAAAAAAATCTAAAAAGCGAGTTATCGCAACAGTGGGTACAGACTCTGAAGTTGTTATTCAATTAACAAAAACTCTGAATGGTGTAAATATTAGTTGAATCATTATGCATCACAAATGTATTAAGTCGCTTTGATGGTCATAATGACTAATTTAAGAGTATAATCATATCAAAATCACTACATAACCATCATCTTTCTGTTCTCCTCTATCTAACTAATATTAAATTATAGTTTAAAAAACAATAAAAAACACGCTTTTGTAACTAACCGAACTAAAAAGTAGAAAATAATTTTCTATAAGTTCAGGGCAGATTAATAACAAATTAGTCAAAATTAGTAATTAAAATTGTAATACTGCTATAAAAATATTAAAAAAATCCATATTCACAATCGTTTATTTTACGAACCGTTTATTAATGCTTTAAATACAGATGTTGAAGTTTAGTACCAAAATATTGTTATTTTTGTTAAATTTTCGAGACTTCTTTTCTCCGTGTAAGTATATAATAATATTTTATTTTTTAATTTTCCTAAAACAAAAAAAATGAGCCAAATTTGCGGTCCTAAAAAATTTGCTCAGTCTCCTGGTCAATCCGCCACTGCACTGGGTACATGAACATTAAACTTAAAACTTGCAATCGCAGGTTTCTAAATTTTAAGTCTCTATTTAAACATTTTCACGTAGTCTTGTTTTTTTAAAAATTAGCATTACTGTATTTAAAAACTTTGACATTTGTTAAACACCCAAATCAAGTAAGTATTTACTTGATTTAGGTGTTTAACAAATGTATAAGTTTTTCTTAATTTCTAAATTCAATAGAATTCGACAGTGTTGCAACTATAATTATGATTAGTACATACTAGTGAATTACGTTGAAAACCTATTTATCGATAACATCTGTGTCAATTTGACAGGTTTCCGAGTATTGGCTGTTTTATCGTTCATAAGTCGTGAGCGCAATATGTAAAAATGTAGACGATTATAAGTCGATAGACAATAGTTCAAGGTACGCAATTATGCATAATACACTAAGTTCACTTAAGTACTAAACTTTTGTTTAAATACTTGAGCGTCTGTTTGAGTAAAGTCAAAAAACCATAACTGTAGGAGGGCTATTCTTACTATTTGCTTTCTTTATTTCAAACTAAAAAAGAAAAAAAGAGGACATGGGCAGAAAGAGTGTTAGCAGTGAACTAGAATGGTAGAAGAAAACTCAATGCGCCGACCTCAAACAAACTTCGGAAAAGGCCGAGAAAATCATGATAATATAACTTTACTATATTTTGTAGTACAAGATGTCTTCTAACATTTGCACAAACTGAATTATAATTAATTATAAGGGAAATCTGATTGGAAATAAAACAACTCTGTATGTATTTGCGATGTTGTATTTCTCAAACCGGAACAAAGCAGTCAATGAGTACAGTAATTAACTAAGAACAAACCAAGACTAAACACAGACTAAGTAATTATCACAAATAAAATATTTATAAGTGGTTCCAAGAAATGTACACTATTATCACGTAAGAATATAGTGTGCTTTTTAAGTGTTAGGTATTACTAAAAGGAAGAAGTTCGTAAGAAATTTTGCATGAGAGTGGAATATAACATATTACATACATTTATAGTATTTTTAGTTAATTCAGATTACATTTGTACTAAATATCTCTATGGGAATCACAGTCCTACCTTCCGTTATGGATGGTGGAAGGGGGAGCCGTACAACATTCTTTGGTCAATCTACGTTAACCCTACATTCTTCTTGTTCACATAACAGTCCTGACGCCCTTTTAATAAATTATCGTGTAAAATTCTAACAGGACAGCTCGCGCATTGGGTGATTCTTCGTCCTTTTATCTTACGAGTCATTGTAAATAATACAAAAACTCTGGCAGTGCCGGGAGTCCTCAGAGAAGTGAAAACTCATATACTTATATACAGAGGTTTTGGTAACTGTAACAAAAATACATTATTTTGCCTGTTGTTTAAAAATGCTCAACGCCTTAAGAAGTTTTCACTTCAAAATATTAAAATATTTAATAAGTCACTTAAATTCAATTGAGTTTTGTCAATATTTTTTTAATATTTTGCACCGAACGGAAAATGCAGTCTACAAGGTTGATGTAAGACACCATCCTTCTTTTGCAGATGTTTACAAAAATTGTGGGCAATTTCACACGGCATTAAGTAAGAAATACTTAGATAGGTACATTACACAAACATTGCTTTATATTTTATACGATGTTATTAGCCGTAATTAAAAAAATCAGCACGTTGACGTAGTCTATGGCAGGATTAAGCTGCATAATTGTGGTTCTGATTATAAGCGCTAGCGGAGGCGGAAGCGGAGGCTTTACTAAAGGAGCGATGTCCGTGATGGTTATCGTTCGAACGGCCGTCTCTGTTATATTCTAGCAGCTCACGACTGTCGCTGAAATACAATATATAGTAACATTACTTAAAGTTGTTTCACTTCTTTTCAAGGTCATATTAAAACACTAAGGTATACCTTTTTTTTTGTTTCTTTTTTTTTTCTGTGCGGAACTCCCCTCGGATACCACCCACCAGTGGGTGATTATGTCGGACTCGAATTTTTAAACCAACCAAAATTAAACCGCGGACATAGAATTTAAGATATAAATATAACTGTTCTTTTTTTGTCCCCAAATTAAATAAAAAGAAAGAAGACAGTTAAGAGAAGGGCAACTTCTTACACTTTTAACTTCTATTTAATTACTACTAGACTAATACGTTAACGATTAACGATTCTGGCTGCTGAGACAGAGGTCGTGAGTTCGATTTTCATCCATAAATAATTACACCCAATAAGAGTATTGCCACATTTTAAATGTTTTTTTTATGGTACATGTTGGGGGGAAATAAGCAAATGGGTCATCTGATGGTAAATGACGTCTGCCGCCCCTACGAAGTCTTGTGACTCTGCGTTGCCGTCCTTTGAAACCTCTCCCCAGAATCAGGGGGAAGGGTTTTGGGCTCCGGTATCCTCGCTCACTCGGTGAAAAGCATCACTCCAGTAGAGCGAGCCCAGTTGTGCCCTTCCATGGTGAATTCTGAGGGCCTGGTGCTAGTTTGTTTTTCATCAAGTTTGATTGGTGAAGATTTCAGTGCGAGCCAATCACAACACCGACTCACAATAGGCCCTCTGAAATCTCTATCAAACTTCAGTTTTATTTTTTATTGATTTACCTCACTTACCTCTTATTTATTTCCCCACTGCAAGCGTTCAGAGCTTCTCTGCTGAGGCTTGCGTCTTCTTCACTTCGTCCGTACGAGCCTAGTTTACCAGAGCCGCCGTTGAAACCACGTTTTAACCTCTTTATTGACTGGAACTGCCAATCTGTTACCATAATTTAACGTTGTATGTGAATCGCTTCAATATGTAGGTAAGCGGCGTTTATGCTGTTTAATTAAAAGTAACTTCTTTGATAGTTCATTTACATTTACTTTTGTTGAAATGAGGCCAAGTTTTTTAGCTATGTTTGGAACTATTACAAAGTCTGAGTCACGTCAATGTCGGTTCTAAAATGTTAAGCTCACTACTGAACAAGAAAGGCTGCAGATTGATTGATGAAAAGGCTCACAATGCAACTTTATTGCATTAAAGATTGAAGAAGAGTATTTATTAGCCTACTTTAAATGTTTTAAATAAAAATAAATGTTTACCCGTTCATTGTTCATTTTACAAAAGAATCATTAAGTAGTAAAAATAATAGTAGGAAGTCAATTTAAAATCTTTGTTTCAGACAAAATCCATATTATAGATAAATATATAGGTACTCTTTATTGCACACTTTAATTAGGATACATGCGATGATACATAAAGAAAAAAAAAACAGTGATACAATGGGCGGCCTTATCGCAGGCTGCGATCTCTTTCAGGCAACCTTTAGATGGACTATACTATAAAGTAATATGTAGCGTGTGGTGCGCATTTACTACATCCGTATATTAACTAATGTTTACATACATAATTAAACATTCACGAATATACATTCATACACTTACATACATATATAGATATGAATACATACATAAACATAAATACACATACCAGTATAGCACATAGTTATTACGGAGATAAATAGTGATCCTTAACGAGTTCTTTAAAAATACCTACTGACTTTGCCTGCCTTATAGCTTCCGGTAATGAGTTCCAGAGGCGTGCTGATTTCACAGTAAAAGACGTATCGGTAAAAGTTGTGGAGTGTGTTGGAATTTCTAAGGTCAAATTTTCCGATGATCTCAAATTATGTTAGTAACAGTGTCTAAAACTAGTGTTTAATTAATTGTTTTGTGTAATATCTAGTGTAATTTTATAAAATAATATAACTGTGTAATAATTAATTATTTAATTAGTAGAATTAGTATTTTTACTAACCCATCTAAGTGTCGTGCAATGGGAGAGGCCTATGTTCAGCAGTGGGACTGCGATAGGCTGATAACGATGACTTATTTCTTATTGCAATGAGTAAGAAAAATTACTTATTGATCCATTGCGAAAGCCACAAGGGTAGCCTCTATTTATCTTAAAAGCGGGAAGGACACAATAGGGTCACCGTATAGCCCGTATATGAGCCCTTAAAATGGAAACTTTTTAAGTTCTTTACGTACTTTATTTCGTATGGAATAGTGATTGCCGGTAAAAGTAATAGTCATTATGCCGTGATGGTCTTAACCTTAGGCATAATTTTTGCGTCTGCATTAATTGTAGGTGTGCACAAAAATACAATAAATAAATTCATGTCGCAATTAAATCTTGGTTATTTTCAAGCAGCCGTTTAGTTAAACGTATTGTTTAAAGTTGCTTGGGCGAGCGGTTTTTTAAAACAGTTTTTCATTGAAAGCCCCTACGTAACAACTTATGGGAAAAATTTGAACCAAATCATTTAAGGCCGAGATATACGAAACATACATATTATGTTTATACTTAGTTACAAGTATTGCTCGCGTAAAGTAAAAAAGAGCTCACCTCTTCCTTCCACGAACGAAGAAATCAACACCATTAGAGAAAAAACGACAACTACCTTTGCCATATTGCTACCTACATACACTGATCTCCATTTGCCATCCATGAACATTATATATACAATCAGTGTTCCGGTCAGGATGACCCCTGTTGCATGGCATCGGATGTGATACGGTTAATCAAAGTGTCTCATTTTCGGTGACATGCAATGACAGGCATACAAAGGCATCATACGGGCTTATGTTGGCGGGCTGTCGGGTAACCTTGACTTTGAGGACAGGGGACAATTATCTATGGTTGTCGGATATGACAAATTTTAGAGGAAATGTGTACAAAATGAGCAAAAATGTTGTAGTAGACAGGTACAATTATGGGTAAAAAATGTATGGTAAAATATCTCTCGAAGGACTTGGGTGACGAATGTTCACAGCGATAACATTGTTTCTTTAGAGGTAGAGAAGAAAACATAGGTTGTCTTTATCGCTAATGTTAGGGCAGCTGTAGAACTTCCTTTCTAGGGTATACCTGGTTCCCCGGCTGTTAGTACCCGAGACGGCGTGCGGTTTTAGTCGGTTCGAGTCCGACATGCCACCGATAGGTATCCGAGGTAATTTCCGCACGGAAAAAAAAGGGCAGCTGTAGAGTAAGTCGGCGACGTCTCGAAAAGAGTTCTACCCGAAGATGGTGCCTTTGCCTTTGCGGTCAGGCACTAGCAGGGGTCCAGATCTCCTAATACTCCTAAAAGCTGTCCCCTCCTGTTTAAGGAGCCGTATGGCACACAGTGTGGTTTTACTCTGTTCGATGCCCCACCGCAAACTCGGGTAGGGATGACAGCCTGAGCGCATTAAAAAAAAGATGTAGATGAGTAGCGCATTGATAATTAAAAAAAAAACGTATAGGGGGTTGTAGTCATGATGAGTGAAATATGTGTCTTCATACTCGCTCCTTTCGTTGGCCATCGCGGAAGTGCTAACGGTATCTTCAATTTTTTTAGACAAATTGGAGTCTCGTTAACATATAATAATATAATTAAATTGGCACAGACATCAAATGAACTTGCCTAAAATAACGCGTTGTTAGAATTATTACATTACATTGTCGTATGTTATAAAAACTTAATTAAACGTCTTGATTGAAATAATAAGAACAGCCAGTGATGATCACGGTAGCTTAATCTTTAGGGGTTGTGAGAAAAAAATTCGGCTCCGTAGTCCGTGTGGTGACGGATTAAGGATACGTAGTGTCACCACCCCTATTCATCCCCTGGGTGTCGTAAATGCCGACTGAGGGACAAACTACGCAGGACAACAGCACTGCAAAGAGAAGGAAAACTTGACACAAACAACAACAACAAACCCTATAACAACCCGTCTGGCCAGCCTGGTATAGTAGACCAAAACCTTCTTTCTAAGGAGAGGTCTATGTCCAGCAGTGGACTATTAAAGGCTGTTGATGATGATGATAATGTAAGAAAAACCTCTATGAAACTTCTTAGATGAGAAGGTAATAAGTAATAGTGACGGTAGTAGAACCAGCCTGCCACCTAATACATGACGAGCGCTCCACGTTTCCTCAATATCTCTGTAACTTCTACATCTTTTCTTCCTAGTAGCTAACTATAGTCATTTTAATTTGAAACCTTTTTTATCAAGCGTGCTGAAACCCCCTCCGGCCGTTACCCTATCGGGTTTTTAGTAGAGCGGTGCGCCAAATTAATCATCTTCATCAGCCTATCGCAGTCCACTGCTGGATATGGCTTCCCCATTGCACGGCACGTCGATAAAACCATTTAAAAAGCCAATTCGAAAAACTTAGTTGTACTACACCATATTGTACCCAAAAAATAAACCCTAACAATCTTTTTGATAACTTTGCTTTACGTAAAAGTCATATGTTTATCAGTTCACATTTGCATTATGTTGGATTAAAATTGTTATCTATTTTTAAAGCTGAATTATTTGCTGGCTTACACACTATTACTCAGCAGTGAGTTCAAATCATCAAAACCGGTCTGAAACTAATCTCCAGGCTACACAGCGAACAACAATGATGTAACACGTTTGTCTGTTAACTCGTGCTTGACCTTGTCTAGGCGGTCGTTGGCTCAATGTTTTTTCCCCCGAGACGTGTTCATAAATAAAAACAGTTTGGTAAAACCTTTTAGAATCAACTAAGCGTAAATTCTTGTTTATTTATCATTGCGATGCATGTGTTGCACTGGTATACAACTGTTTTGGAGATTAATGTTTGGTTTTTTGCTTTTTCGATATTCGTTTTGAGTTATAGGTATATATATACTGACTCTTAAAAGGCGTAACCTGAGGTGTTATAAGCGCTCACATCATGAGGACTATTATTTTAGTTCTACTTCAACAGTACAGTAACAGGCGGCAAACCAATTAAATAGGCACTTTAGGAATCAGATGCGAAAATTGGGAGTATAATCGAGTAGGTTAACACATTTGCAAAGTTCAGTAATCCTAGCTAGGTCAGTTTATGGATGGGTAAGCCGTCGGTCCCGGTTGCCATACAAATATTTTTGGCAATCTAGCAGTTGGGGACCAAGAAACTCCGACAACAGGCTTGTTACAGGACTTCGATATCGCCTAGTACCTACTTGGGTTGTGTACCTAACTACCTCCCTTTACTAACTGAAATACTTTCATAACTTGCTAAAACAAGCTAGCTATAGAAATTTCAGTTCAGATTACATTAGGGACTTAGAAGACTATATTAGCAGCTGTATATTGGTAGTAATTTTTTGTTTTTTTAAAAGAATACTGGCGCACTAGGAATAAATCCTGTGTCGCGGGGGACTTTACAAACATACATGAAACGGACACAAAGAACACCAAGACTCAGAACAACAATTTGTGGATCACACAAAGTGTCGTCCTATGTGGGGATCGGACCCACAACACTCAGCGTAGTAGTGAGTTTCGTGGTGACCGCTTAAACCACTACACCATCCGTGCAGTCAATGCTCCTTAAAGCTGAATATTCTGCTGTATTCCCGTTCTCTACTCAGTCAATATGTAGCTGAAAAACGCCAGTTGGCGTATAACATTCTGTTCTCAACGCACATCGCAGTTTCCGACAAAAGTTCTAGCACCGTTAACATCAGTGATTAAGTAACGGTTTCTGACGGTTCAATATGTTCCAAATTAAATATTTTAGAAAAAAACATTATTACGTTTAAATTGATACGTTGTTGCATCATTTGTCTGCTAAGCTGCCAGGAAGATAAAAATAAATATTATTGCATTTTGTTTTTATTGCTAAATGTATCTACCTATATATACTATCTATATATAGATTGCCTCGTTATATTTTTGTATAATTTATGTTAATATATCTAAAGTGAACATGTATACGATCACATAGGTAGGTGAATCGAAATCCCAGCCAATGATAATAATAGAATTGAATTGTTCTCTCACATAAAATATTACAAGGGCAATACTTAATTGCGGTACAAAAAGATTGGTGTAGCTTGAACAGAGCGCCCTACGATCATAACACAAGGTAATCTAATAATATTATACTTTGAGGCATTTTTTAAAACCTCCGTTCTAAGGAGAGGCCTATTTCTTACTACTTTTTTTTTTTTAATTTAGGTATTTTTGTAAAAAATATAAATTTCTAAGCAATGTGCCATAACTATACGTTGGTCTACCTTATGAAGAAAGAAATAGAAAATCGATGTTTTAGGATATTTTAGGCTAAAATTACTTTTAGATTAAGATCTAAAATACAAAAACTAAAATTGATTAATACTTTTTGTACGTTACGCCATTTGTGAATTAATTTGAATTATTATTGTCTAATGAATTGCCTTTCACATATTTTGCAATGGAATTGTCACAGTTCAAAGTCAAGGCCGATTCAATTTTGTTTGCAAACAAGTTGTTGAGAATCATAAATACTTATAAAGTGTGAAGTAACCTATGAATACAGTTTACATATTTATTAACATTTTACGATATTTTCCATAGTAAACAGTAGGCGTTCGCAAGAAAAACGTGAGCATCTCATAATACAATAAAAAATATGCACAAGTATATTAGAGTCTAGTCATCGTCATCAACAGCTTTAAGAGCCCACTGCTGGACCTAGGCCTCTCCTTAGTGAGAAGGTTTTGGCCTACTATACCACGCTGACCAGACTGGTTATTATAGGGTTTGTTTCAAGTTTTCCTTCTCTATGCAGTGCTTCAATGTTGTCCTGCGTAGTATGCTCCCTTGATCGGCTCTTACGACACCCACGTGATGTACAGGGGTGGTGACACTGGTTAACCGGCTATTAGTACCCAAGACGGCGTGCGGTTTTAGTCGGTTCGTGTCCGACATGCCACCATGACAGGTGGTGTCCGAGCGGATTTCCGCACGGAAAAAAAAGGGGTGGTGACACTCCGTATTCTTAATCTTAATATTTCATTTTTGTGTTACTTATCCTCCCTAGATTCCCGTTTACCAACTTGCCCTTTTATATTGAACTCCCAAATTCCCAATTTTCCCATTTAATTCCTAAAGTTCCTATTTGGTGGAAATAGGCTTGCCCCCATTACAAAAGTGGGAATAAAATTGTAATCGCCAGAATGTGAACTTTAAATACGCTTCTGCTCACCCCTTCCTTATTTAGTCATGACTGTATGTACATTTGTATATAAATGTTAGTTATGAAATGCAAAGTACATTTAGTTTTTGGGTAATTACTTTATTAATTACTTATTTTAAAGGAATTTAGCATACTATGTAATAATGCTAATGCTCAGAACGTGATAAAAAGATTCTAGACATACTTAATTCTAAATTATGTCTAGAATCTTTGTAACAATTGTATGTGTTTCTTTTAGGGTTCCATACTTCAAAAGGAAAAAAACGGAATCCTTATAGGATCACTTTGTCGTCCATCCGTCCGTCCTTTATCTCGGAAACGCGCAGAGGTATCGAGTTGAAATTGAAACGATATACTCAAGTCAACAGTCTCTTGAAGCTGTGAAAAAATCGAACTTCTAAGTTAACGTAAAAAAAAGAGAAGGCCATTTATTCCGCAAAAAAAAACGTATATTTCGACACTCTCAAGGAAATACGAGTAAAAGTTTATAGGGTATTTTCCGTTGACCTAGAACTATGAAATTTGGCAAGTAATGCTGTCTTATACTAAAAGTATAGAGAGAAATCTGAAAACTACACATTTGTAATGAAATCCTTTAAATGTACCTACAAATTTGCACGGAACCCTCGGTGTGCGAGTTCGACCCGCACTTGTCCGGTGTTTTTTTCATATAATATTAAAATAATTCTTCAAGTTCACGTACAGTTTAACAAGATTCCAAAATTAAATCGTGTCATGTGGAGTCTAATTCATAGTCATTGGGTGGCCAGGATCCCCACACGGGAGGGGGGGGTCGTCTACTCGTCTGTAGATGGCCCGAGGTATGTCGGGGCACCAGGGACTTCCTTTCTAGGGTATACCTGGTTCCCCGGCTATTAGTACCCGAGACGGCGTGCGGTATTACCCGGTTCGAGTTCGACATGCCATCGATAGGTGGCATCCGAGGGGATTTCCGCACGGAAAAAAAAGGGTGGCCAGGATTGGCTGCCTTCATCGTGTCACTTCAAATCGGTTCGTCGATCACATTTAGCGATTGTGTTGTCTCATTTCTTTAGATAACGTGTTATTAATGCGATTGATCAGTTCGGTGCTTATATTTATAAATAGATTTATGATATTACAAGACCTATAGTATATATTAGAAAAGACAAAGCTATTAAGTATTTGAAAATGTTTCTTACAAACGTCCGTGAGACACAGAAAACAGTTTCGGTACATATGTATGGGCCTGCTCGATCGGGGCAATACCAGGGCCTCACAGAAAAACGGTGTAAACAAATTATTATGCTTTTAACTGAGTGAGTTAGGTTATCAGAGGCCTAGCATTCTAACGCTGGCGGGCCCCTCAAAGGCACTTGAGGCACTCTAAGGCAGGGCCCTTGGAGTCTTCAGTTGAAGGATTTAAGTAGTAGACAGTAGTCACCTACTCTCATTTATCCCATCAGCTCATTTCTCTTCTATACTTACCATTAAGAAACCTGTTATCAAACCAATTCAATCGCATATCTGATCAGCAGTAAAATTGTGTCGGAAGCGTTCGAGAAGTTTGACCTTAACCAAGGTCAAAGTACAATGGTGATCTTTCATCATCAACATACACATTTAATTGTACAACCAATAGATGACAAATGTAGATATGTTATGTATGTTACAAATCGTATCATGATCGTTTTATTATACGGTTAATAAATATATTTGTTTGTAATAAATTATGGCCATTTCCTATGTTTTAAACGTAAATATAAAATATTATGAATATTTTATAGGTAGTAGAAACACGAACGAACTAGTAACAAAACTTAACCTTTATTTAATTAGAGAAACTTGTTTAATGTCCAACTAGCGATCCGCCCCGGCTTCGCACGGGTGGTCTCGCATTTTAAACCTGTAATATCTTCTAAAATATTCATTTTAATGATATGCTGTTGAGAGCAATTTTAATCTACATTAAATTCACAACGCATCTAACGTATTTAATTGGATAAGGAATAATAATGGATTGTTAAAAATAGCTTCGTAAAAAAGCCAGTATTATTTTGTTACATTAGGAGATAGACATATACCAACGCAACTTTTTTTTGTGTAGATCTTTTTAAGAAATACAATTCTGTATTACATTGTTTTGGTCTATCTCGTAAAGTTTAGTCAGCATTAACAATGTTAGCGCACAAAAACATGTTTTTAAGACAAATCTTTATAATTCTTGGAATTTCTCTACTATAATATGTATGTATTAAACATATAAACCTTCCTCTTGAATCACTCTCTCTATTGGTGAAAACCGCATTAAAATCAGTTGCTTAGTTTAAAAGATCTAAGCGTACAACACAAAAAAGCGACTTTATTTTATACTGTGTAAAGATACCACAGTTCACACGCTACTTATATTACTTGCAGAGTAGTGGAGCTCACCTTAATGGCTGAAGGTAGCTAAACAGGCTAAACTAATTATTTTTAAGTTTTGTGACTTGTTTGTATGTAAATTAGGAATTAAACACAGAAGTAGTATTTTTCCACCTACCATTTTAATTTTATTAATAACTAGTTGTATCCTCCCACGTTGCGCTGTGGCACACAGTGAGTTGCATTGACTAGAAATGAGAAACAAAAGTGACGCGAGAAATAGATAAAAATACTCTTTAAAGCGGTTTGCATATCATGTCAAGATTGGAGCTCAATCGGTGCAGATATTTTTGAGTTTTTGAAGCGTTTACAAACCAACTGAACATTTTTATAAGCAGAAATATAGATAAGTTGTTATTAGAACGAGAGTCAGTATGCACTGAAGTGGAACCCTCAGGGAAAGCGAGGGCGTAGTCGTCCAAGGCAAACCTGGCGACAAACAGTGTCTGATGGGGCGAGGAGCATCGGCAAAACGTGGAGCGGAGTAAACCACGAGGCCGGGACTGATCGAGAAGGATTTTACTCTGCTCTACCCAAGGGACATAGGATATTAAAGAAATAAGACCGAGAGGAAGAGGTAGAACTACAGCATAGCAAATATATGTATAAATTGTGCTTTAATTAAATAAAAATGTACACAGTTCCTTAAAATTTAAAAGACATATTCAATTTCATATTTAAATATGCGTGTACCTTTTGTACAGCAGATATCATCGAATGAACATTCATTAACTAGTACTTTCCTTTACCACCCCAACCTCCTTTACCACCCCAATCTCCTTTATCACCTCCTTTTTTGTCATCACCACCCTTTTTGTTATCACCATCACCTTCGCTACTATTACTGTCACTTTCATCACTACTGCTGTCACTTTTAGATTCTTTGCTGCCTCCATTACCTCCTTTGCCTCCTTTGCCTCCTTTACCTCCGTCGTGACCGCCTCCTTTGCCCTTACCGTCATCTTTACCTGACTGGTAATCATAGTCTGGAACACAAATAATATGTATTATTAAAAATAATACTATTCATATTTATTAGCAGTCCAGTTATATGTTATTAAAATATCAGTGAAAGCTGCAATAGGCGAAGCCTGTGTCGCGGTTTTCGAACAAAGCCGATTTTTCAATAGGAATAGGCTATTTTTATTTTATTTAAAATGAGGATGGGTGAGTTTACAAACATACACGAAACTGACACAAAGAACACCCAGACTCAGAACAACAATTTGTGGATCACACAAAGCGGCGTCACACAATACTCAGCGTAGTAGTAAGGGGGGGGGGAGGCGACCGCTTACCGTCGTCAAAGCCACAAAGTTAAACCTACATCATATTGTATGTACCTAATGTTATTGTTAATACAGTAACATATTAAGTAATGTTTCTTCTAACTCTGCAAGTATTGTGTGATCGATTCATCCATCCATCTAAATATCGTATTGCACTGAATGTCATTTTTCTTCTTTTATCTCCTAGGATAGTGATCGTGACTACTGAGCCAGAGTTCGTGGATTTGAACTGACACTGGAGTGGAACCCATAAATAATTGTGCGATGACCACGATCACAGGTTCGTGTGCTTGTTAGTAATTCATCTATGGTATGCATGTATTTAGGAATATTTAACTACGTTACTCAGAAATCTGATTACAAATGTGTTAAAAGAAATCTGGTACAGACTCTGCCTAGTTTGAGATAAGACAATGTCACGACGATGGATGAAGTGTGTTTTTCAATCTGGAGTTGAATTATGAAACACTCACCAAACTCAAACTCAAACTCAAACTTTCTTTATTTCATAAAATTGCCAAAATTGTTTGAAATCGTCTTCCATATAGACTCTAAAGTCATAGATCAACACACACAAAAGCAACAATCTCTGTTTTGTCAAATAGTAACCAAATAAATTTAACAAAAATCAAACCCATACAAAATCTATGATATGCCTGTGCCGATCTACAACCGCCCGTTTCCAAGTGGTTGAGCCTTATGAGAAGAAAGGGCAAACAAACTCATGGCCACTCTTTTGCAATTCACAAGTAGATACAATGGCACTATTAAATATATCACAACATTGTTTTGATGTGTGCTAGTATGTCCGTTATTAAGGACTTAAAGGTGAAAAAACAACGAAGAGAAAACAAGATTAAGAAGAAAAAACGAATACAAGAGAAAATGAAGTGAAACATAAAAAATAGAAAAAATAATAATAATAAAAAACATACTAGCTACACCACATTTTTACTTAAGAAAGAAATAGCCTGCGCTAATTAATCCCAAGCATTCTTGTCCTCCATGTAATCCACAATCGAGTAGTAGGCCCTCTGGCACAAGCCACGTTTTATTGCGGATTTAAATTTGTTAATACTCAACTCCTGCATATTATTTGGGATTTTATTATAAAATCGGACACATTGACCTCGAAAAGACTTGTTTATCTTTTGGAGCCTAGAGGCGGGTACAACAATTTTTTTTTATTTCTGGTATTTATGGCATGTATATCACTTTTTTTCAAAAAGCTATCTTTATTTTTGTGAACATATATTACATTTTCATAAATATATTGACTTGCCACTGTCATTATATTTATTTCTTTAAATTTCTGCCTCAATGAACAACGATTGCCTAAATTATAATAAAGTGCTCGAAGTGCACCTTTTAGAAGACACGTGACAGACACCGTACATCTAAAATATTTTTAATAACATACAATTCTCAGTCGTATATACAGCAATTATTTTTATATTTTACCCTTCCTGCATTACAATTTGCACAAGGCAGACTTAATACCACATGTGATTGTCTACCAGTCAATCTTTAGTTAGATGGTTCAGTAAGGGACATGGCAGGTACATATGTACTATGAACAGTAGAAGAGAAGCTAGTAAGTAAACATTTATACAGTGCGTAAAGCTCTTAGGTACAGTCTGGTGTACCTAGTTAGAATTATTGTTAAGTATAAACTGCTAAGTAGTCATATACATACAGAACTTAGTTATAGACTATAGTGCTGCGCAAAAAAAAGTGTGTGCAAAGTTTTAGATAAATAAATAAAGATTTTGACTACTTTTTCAAACAGGGTAATGTCAGTGAAGCACAAGTGCACCAGTAACAGATTATGACCACGAAAAAAAATGAGTTACAATACAATAGAACTATACTTATGAGAACTTATACAAAAGTAATCTACTCACATCCCGGTCCAGCGTACGCACAGGCGACGTACAATACTAGCAGAAGTGCGTAGATGGTTAAATTCTTCATGTCTGTACTCGTGTTTACAACACTCTCGGTTGACTACATCGATGAGCTGTGAATCAACCCTTTAAATACACAATCACTTTCCGATTTTCCACATTATTTACAGTAAAAAGTCTTTTAACAATCTCTTTTAAAGTGCCAATTACCTTGACGTTAGTTGGATAATTAATCACAATTGATTAATGTCTGATTTAACACTCATCGTTAACTGATATTCGATTTTCATTCCTAAATTTGATTATTTAAGAACCGTTTTTTTAAATCCTGTCATTATGTTCTTGGTTGTTGATAGGTTTTTAAACTCCTGTGTCCCATCTGAAAACGATTGCGTTCCCAAAGAGGGTTAGCGTCAGGCAGCCGAAAGCCATAAAAGAAGCCAAGAAAATGCTCTTTGCCATGTAACATATTGGGCCGACTCCAAAAATAACTCCACACAAAAGAGCAGACGGGTCTGCTATACGCTTGGACATTTTCACGTGTTGCATGAACAAATGTAAATAATTGTTGGTGAACCACAAGTATTTTCTAGGGAGAGGGTTATGTCCAGCTGTGGACTACTAAAGGCTGTTGACGGCATGTTTTAAAAGTGGCAATAATTTCAATCGCTAGTATGCATTCTAAAATGTTCCTACCTAATTCCTATAGCCCGGTTGTCAGTAACTGGCTTAACCCCTGTTAGATGAGTGGGATTAACATGAGTATGTAAAATGCTGGCGTTTAATACGCTTCTGTCTACCACTTCGGGGACATAAACGTCAGTGTATGTAGTTAGTATGATCCACCACTTCAACTCGACTATTTTTTGAAATCAGACTAAACTAGTATATTCTAAAAGATCCATTCCTCGTAAACATCTGTTGAGTATATTAAAGTGGACATAAAAGTGCTCAAACATCCATCATGGATTTTGCAATGGATTTTAGTTTACACAGGGGTATCATTAGACCGGAACTGTTCCCTAAGATACAGGCCTCACAGCCTTGTTTAGGAGACAGGGTTTCATTAAATCTAAATTGTAACTCAATTGTAGCATAACCAATTTATACTTGTATCACCAAAAATTGTAAACATGACTTTGAACTTCCTGTTCCTGTTTTTTGTGTAATAAATAAATGATTATTTTATTGGTTTGTAAATAATACTAATAATAGTAGTTTGACACGAGTTATGATGTTAAACAATATGATGTTAAATTTCAAACTATGGCGACCCTATATATGTATATTAACTGCACCCAGACACAGAACAAATGATCGTGGTCATCATACAATATTTGTTATTGGTGGTAATCGAACCCACGACCTTTGTGTTAGCATTCACTAGACCGACAGGTTAGTAAATTTACGTTACTTAGTGAGTTTGTAGGTTACTTAAAATGTAGGTATGTAACTGGTTAGGACATTATTAACAACGATTTATATGTAATCTAGCAAAGATTACGGCCAAAGATTACATGACCGACAGGTCTCTTCTCCATTACTCTATACCCCAGTCATGATGTGTTCAGTGTTCCCTACTCTTAATATTCTATGTCTACATTGCTATTGCCTGTTTGCAAATTCTGTTAAAATGTGATCCATATTGAATTACCAAATTTTATTATTCATTGCATGTACCTATATTATAATAAATTTATCTATTGTATGCCCAAAGGGCGGGACATAGCCGGGCTAAATACCGATAACTATGTATATCATCTATATAATGTACCTATGATCTACAATAAAGATTACTTACTTACTTAAAATGCTGGCTAGCTCGTAATTGGCAAGTGTGTAAGGCCTTACTACAATAATTGTACACTTAGTATTATGTATTGTGTATAACCTTTTAAAAAAATGTAGCTATTGAGTTTTAAATCATTCTAAAACTTCTTCGATTAAATTGGATATTTTTTGTTTCTAGTAAAAACTTGAGAATGAAAGGCAGTAACTACAGCGATGTCTGTGTTAATAAAGCACGGATGGTTTAAGCGGTCAACTCACCGCTTTCGCTGAGTGTTGTAGATACTCACATAGGTCAACACTTTGTGCAATTCAAAAATTATTGTTCTGAGGTGTTCTTTGTGTTCGTTTCATGTATGTTTGTATAGTCCACCGCGACACAGGATATATTCCTAGTGCAGGCGTTGTCAATTTTAAATTAAAATAAATAAAAAAATAAATAAAATGAGATGGTGATCGAAAAGAAACAATTCATTCATTTAAAAATATATTTTTGCAGTAGCTAACAAAAAATATGTATTTGATACATATGGCGAAAATAGTATGTTAGTTTATTACATTGAGTTTTTATTCTTTATCTTATATTGCACTTTCAGCAGCCTAGTCTTAACGTCTGAAACAAGAAAAAAAAGTTACTTATATAAATAATCTCATGATACACAGGCGTTATGCCTGGAAATAGGAAATGCAAGACAATATTAATATTACTGTAGGACATATTTTACATAGCTAATTAAATTATAATCAGAATATTTACAAGTAAGATACTGCCAGTTACAAACACATAATCTGCTTGATGGTAAACGCTAATCGGGGACTGTAAACCCAATAAATATTGTCACATGAGTGCAGCTAATCGATTTATTATGTTTACGGGAATTAAAGCAATCACGTTACTCAAAAGTATATAATGCCAATAACGTTATGACAATGAAAATTAATCATTGATCGTAAAAGTTTTATATTCAGCGTTTTCTCTTTTTATCTACACTAAGACTAGAAGCTAATAATGCGACCCTAAAATCTAGGTGGCATCAATTCAATGAGGATAGTTTGACTTACTCTTATTTTCCGTATCCACCTCCGCCATGGCCACCTCCGGATCCTCCACCATAGCCACCTCCGTGACTTCCGCCGTGGGATCCTCCGTGGCTACCACCATTGCTTCCTCCATGGCCACTACTACCTCCATGGCCGCCAGTATCACCGCCGGAACCGCCTCCGTTTTCTCCGCCTAGACCGCCTCCGTGGCTACCACCGCCGTGACTGCCACCACCGCCTCCGTTTCCTCCGCCGCTACCACCGCCGAAACCATTGCCTCCTTCACTGTCGCCGCCGAAACCGCCATTATCATTAAAATCAGCATGGCCGCCACCATCATCGAGGCCGCCACCACCATCGTGGCCGCCACCACCACCGTGTCCGCCACCACCACCGTGGCCGCCACCACCACCGTGGCCGCTGCCACCACCACTTGAGCTACCAGCGCCGTAGCCGCGACGAACTCGGTGGTGCTCAGCTGAAAGCCAAACAAATTGACTAAAAAATCTGCTCTAAAAAAATTAATATTTGCTCTCTTTGCTTGCTCGTAATTTTCACACATCCAATGGTCTTGATCAGAAAATGTGTGAAAATATCAAATTAAAATCAAAAATAGAAAGAAATATTTTTGCATGTACATATATTCAGTCAAGACAGGAAATTTATGGCTTACCAACTACTGTCTGACTTTAACTAACGTTGTTTAAGAAAATAATTAAATACGTACAAAAGGATACACAATGTTAAAAATTAAACACTTTGATTAAAAATGTTGTTGGTAAACAAACCTGAGGCTGCGCAGCAGACGGCGAGCCCTAAGGCGAACGCTAGTAGTGTAAGCTTAGCCATATTGGTACTGTGCCGAACTCAACACCGACCCAGCTTATATACACACTAGCTTATGTCATAACTTTATAAAGGATCAAATGTTTATCAGACTCTTTATTTTTTGTTCCGTTTTTCCTTCTTTTATTAAGGTTCTGCTGCACATGTTAATTTGAGATCCTTTCAGCGGATCGCGCGCGGATAGGATTGAGATGGGCATAATAAAGTACATGGTCTTTAAAAAAATTTCAATTTTTTTTAATGTAATTATTTCGTTATTTCGGTATAGATGATTCTGGATATGTAAAGATTGTGAGTTTGAGATTCCAGGGAGCTTGGGAAGTGAATTGTGGTAAAGAAATACAGTAGGCAGGGATTGACAGCTTTCAAAGCTTTCAAGCTTTACGCACTATATAAATGTTTAGCTAATAGCTTCTTTTCTACTGTTCGTAGTACATATGCATCTGCCATGTCCCTACTGAACCATCTAACCAAAGGTTGACTGGTAGACAATCACATGTGGCATTAAGTCTGCCTCGTGCAAATTGTAATGCAGGAAGGGTAAAATATAAAAAAAAACCGGTCAGGTACGAGTCGAACTTCTGCGCCGAGGGTTCCTTACCTACCCCGATTTTGCGTAGATTTTCGCGAAAATTTGTAAGTACCAAAATTTATCTTAATTTTCAACTTTAATTTTATTTTAACGAATTATTCCTTTATTTGTGCTGTAAGACGTTTCTTTTTGCCAAATTTCGTGATTTTAGGTCAACGGGAACTACCATATAGGTTTTCGACCCAAAACCTATAGGGTACTTCTGAAAAGTTAAAAATTAAGGTAAATTTTGGGACTTACAAGTTTTCGCGATAATCGAAATTTGCCCATATCTTTTTATCGTCCTGACTCAGGACCTTGATTTTTATACACCTTATAGGGATAGATCTCAGTATCTGGTATAAATTTTAACTTGCTAGGTCTACCCGTTCCTGGAAAAATCAGTGGTGACACACGGACAGACGGACAGACAGACAGACGGACAGACGGACAAGAAAGTAATCTTATAAGGGTTCCTTTTTTAACCTTTTGAGGAACGGAACCCTAAAAATAAACATTTTTTACCCATTACAAAAGGAGTTTACAACGCCGCTAAAGAAGTTTTCACTTCAAAAATATTTCACATGTACGGTATCTGTCATTTGTCATCTAATAGGTGAATGTTTCATAATTTAACTCCAGATCGAAAAAAAAAACACTTCATCCATCGTCGTGACCTTGTCTTATCTCAAACTAGGCAGAGTCTGTATGAGATTTCTTTTAACAGATTGGTAATAAGATTTCTGAGTAACGTAGTTACATATTCCTAAATACCATAGATAAATTACTCCCAAGCACACGAACAAGTGATCGTTGTCATCGCACAATTATTTGTGGGTTACACACAGCAGTCACGATTACTATCCTAGGAGATAAAAGAAGAAAAATGACATTCATTACAATACGATGTTTAGATGGATGGATGAATCGATCACACGACACTTGCAGAGTTAGAACAAACATTACCAAATATGTTACTCTATTAACAATAAACCACAACAATAACATTAGGTACATACTATGTGATGATAAATGCATTAGTTATATTATCTTCATGTTGTAGGTTTACTCGTAACTTTGTGGCTTTGACTGCACGTATGGCGTAGTGGTATAAGCGGTCACCACGCCCGCTACTACTACGCTGAGTGTTGTGGGTCCGATGCGTACATGGGCAGACACTTTGTGTAATCTAATAATTGTTGTTCTGAAGTGTTCTTTGTGTTCGTTTCATGTATGTTTGAAAAGTTCACCGCGACACAGGATATATTCCTAGTGCGGGCGTTGTATTTTTTTAATAAAATAAATAAAATAAGATGGTGATTGGAAAGAAACAATTCATTCATTAAAAAAAATATATTTGCATAAGCTAACAACAGAGATGTATTTGATACATATGACGAAATTAGTATGTTAGTTTATCACATTGAGTTTTTGATTATTTATCTTATATTGCACTTTCAGGAGCCTAGTCTTAACGTCTGAAACAAAGAAAAAACGTTACTTACACAAATAACTTCATGATACACAGGCGTTATGCCTGGAAATAGGAAATGCAAGATAATAATAATATTACTATAGGACATATTTTACATCGCTAATTAATTTATAATCAGAATATTCACAAGGTAAATACTGCCAGTTACAAACACATAACCTGCTTAATGGTAAACGCTAATCGGGGACTGTAAACCCAATAAATATTGTCACATGAGTGCAGCTAATCGATTTATTATGTTTAAGGGAATTAAAGCAATCACGTTACTCAAAAGTATATAATGTCAATTACGTTATGACAATACAAATTAATCATTGATCGTATAAGTTTTATATTTAGCCTTTTCCCTTTTTATCTACACTAAGACTATAAGCTAATAATGCGACGCTAAAATCTAGGTAGCTTTAATTCTATGAGGATAGCTTGACTTACTCCTATTTTCCGTAGCCACCTCCGGATCCTCCACCATGGCCACCTCCGTGACTTCCGCCGTGGGATCCTCCGTGGCTACCACCACTGCTTCCTCCAGGGCCGCCGCCAGTACCGCCGCCAGTACCACCGCCGCCGTTTCCTCCGCCTAGACCGCCTCCGTGGCTACCACCGCCGTGACTGCTACCACCTTGGCCGCCGCCACCGCCGCCCCCGAGGCCGCCACCACCTCCGCTTCCACCGCCTAATCCTCCGCCATGGCTGGAACCGCCTCCGTGGCCTCCGCCGCTACCACCGCCTCCTCCACTACCACCACCATGGCCGCCACCATGGCCGCCACCGTCGCCCCCTCCTAGACCACCACCACCACTTGAGCCCCCACCGCCGTAGCCACGACGAACTCGGTGGTGCTCAGCTGAAACACAAACAGATTGAATGAAAAATCTGCTCTATAAAAAATAAATATATGCTCTCTTTGCTTGCTGCCCTCTACACATCTCATGGCCTTGATCAGAAAATGTATGAAAATATGAAAATAAAGTAAAAAATAGAAAGAATTATTTTTGCATGTACATAATATATTCAGTCAAGACAGGAAAGTTTATGGCTTACTAACTACTGACTTTAACTAGCATTGTTCAGAAAAATAATTAAATACGAGTACAGTACAAAAGGAAACACAGTGTTAAAAATTAAACACTTTAAAAAAATATATTGTTGGTAAACAAACCTGAGGCCGCGCAGCAGACGGCGAGCCCTAAGGCGAACGCTAGTAGTGTAAGCTTATAGCTGTATATATTGGTACTGTGCCGAATTCAACACCGACCCAGCTTATATACACACTAGCTTATGTCATAACTTTATGAATGATCAAATGTTTACCAGAATCTTTATTTTTTGTTACGTTTTTCCTTCTTTTATTAAGGTTCCTCTACAAATGTTAATTTGAGATCCTTTTAGCGGATCAACTAAATAGTTTTCATTATATTTGTATATAGTTTTACCGAAGCTGGTAAAGGATTTATGTGGGAATAATAAAGTATACTCGTATGTTGTTCAAAAAAATGTTGTGTATAAGTATACAATTACAGGAGTATACTATAGGTATACTATTTATATATGGGTAATTAATGATCTATGGTCCGTGTGGTGCCGTATTAAGAATATAGTGTCACCACCCCTATTCATCGCGTGGGTGTCGTAAGAGCCGACTAAGGGAGAAAACTACGCAGGACAACAGCACTGCAAAGAGAAGGAAAACTTGAAACAAACCCTATACCAACCCATCTGGCCAGCGTGGTATAGTAGGCCAAAACCTCCTTTCTAAGGAAAGGCTTATGTCCAGCAGTGGACTATTAAAGGCTGTTGATGACTGAAGGTAAAACTATTCTATCGAATAAAGTTGACCAGCATTTCTTGGATCTGAAACAGCAAAATATCGAACTAGGGGAGAGTCTACAATTTATGTCCGATAAATATGACACCCTTCTTAAATCGATTTGTAAAATGCAAGAAGATCGAGTAGAGGATAAGAAGCAAATTTTGAAATTGGAGGAGAAAATAGAGACCATGGAGCGTAAAGCCAAATGCACAGGTTTAGAATTACGTAACGTACCTACAATGATAAAAGGTAATAATAAAAGAGAAACGAAGGAAGAGATCTGTGTAATGGTGAAATCTTTGGCAAAAACTGTTGACATGGACCTTAACGATGTTGATTTAAAGGATGTCTATAGAGTAACTACCAGCAAAGAGAACACGAAACCAATTATACTAGAATTGAATAGCGTTATTAAAAAAGACAAATTATTGCAATCTGTCAAGAATTTCAACAGGAACAAGGCCAACTGTGATAAATTGAACACCAAGCACCTCGAAATCCCAGGCCAGGCAAAACCTGTGTTCGTGTCGGAGGCTTTGACAATTAAAATGCAAAAACTTTACTATTTAACAAGACTTTTTTCTCGAGACAACAATTATGCATATTGCTGGACGTCAAGGGGTTTTGTGTACATACGTAAACGCGAGGGTGAACCCGCAGTACGCATAGAAAATGAAGCGGACCTTATCAAACTCAACTCGGAAAAATGACAATTCTTTATACTTTTGAGTTATTTAATATTAAGTTATCATAGTTTATATTTCACCTACTGCTCGATCTCTTTATTTTGTATTGTAATAGCGTATATATATCGGTTAGTAAACCTGCATGTACGTTCGTTTCATACACATAAAAGTATAATTTATATCCTGTTAACACATATACATTCCTTACTCATAAATACATACAAATATTTACTAGCGCCTATAAATCCTAAAAAGGGCAGTCAGATGGGCATGCAAGCACAAGCATATTACACATACATACATTTCCAAAAATCTACAACTTCACATCTCATAGCCAATCAAATTCCGGCTCTGTTAGATTGTTATATATTCTACTCTATGCGTCTCGTTAGGAATATGCAAATCGAGTTTACTACTGTTGTTGTTGGAAACCACTGGACA